ATTTTTTAGGATAGGGTTAACTATCTCTTATCCATGTCCATAGTTGATATCTTATGGATATCCATTATGAATATCTTCAAGACATCCAAAAAGGTCACACTGTCACATCCTATGGACGTCCATAGGATATACCAGAGCCTTATTGGATATCTTATGGACATCCACAATATCCATGATGGATATCCATAGTATATCCATAGTACTTGTGCTATCTGCACAATCACGCGGATTTCAATCATTCAAATTGTTTTAAAGTGGCGTACTAAATTTTTTTCTCGTTTTTTGTTAAATTTTCGGGATGAAATTTATTAGTGAAAATCTGATATCATGGGAATATTCGTTAGACTGTATCATATCGATCTGCTGATTATATCTACTTATTTCGAAAACACCTAGTATATATACATCAACCTGTCTTGATTTCCCCTATTCACCATTTGGCTATGTGACGTTCCTCATGAATCATCATGTATAGATCGATCCGCCTCTGCAACAACCTATTATTGGACCTTGTTTCGTCTTTCGCGTGATGGCATGTATGAATACTTTTTTTGATATGTAATTAAAATGACTATTTGTGGAGAAAAGGAATAAACAAATCCAACATAATATATTCCCGAAACATATATTTATAGAGTTTGAAGTTTCAGGACGAGATGCCACCTACGGGCGGTTTCAGTAGCCGTACATTGGGCCACGATCAATGTAACCATTGCTGTCCTAAAAGGAAATAACATAAAGTACTAAAATAATAAAATAAAAAAATCAACGATGAATGAGGTGGTCCACTTTAGAGTAGCACTAGTAGCAGAACTTGAAAGAGTTTGTTAAAAAATGGTTCCCATATGAAAAATAATAGTTAGCCACGAAATAGTTATTTTTTATCTGTACAGGGTGGTCTAATTCGTAATACATGAAATTCAACAGTTTGTTGTACTCGTTCAAAGGACGAAAAAAGTTTACCTAAGCATATACTTCTGAACGCTTCGTTTTCGAGATAGAGATCCAAATTATGACCTATACCTAAACTTGTCTGGAAAATCTATACAATCAGTGGAGACTATCAAGTTCTTAGGTGTTACTTTGGATAGTAAGCTAAATTGGGAAGCACACATAAATACTGTATGTTCGAAACTAAGCACTACATGCTATGTAATAAGAAATCTGCGAGATACTGTATCTACAAACATCCTGAAGTTACTTTATTTTGGGCTGGTTCAGTCAACTCTGCAATATGGCCTGATATTTTGGGGGTCCTCTTGTCACTTTGAAAGGGTATTTGTAACACAAAAAAGGATAATGAGAACAATTTGTCATGCCCATCCAATGAAAACATGTGAACCACTCTTCAAGAAATTTCAAATACTCTAACCCTACCATGTTTGTATATTTTTGAACTAACTATGACATAAAAATGAACCAAAATGAATTCATGAGAAATGAAGATATGCATATGTATAATACTAGGAATAAAGAGAAATTTTGACAGCCCTATTCAAGATTGACAGTCTGTGAAAATTCACCAAAGCATATGGGTATCAAATGTTTCAATGAAATACGAGACATAATAGATGTAAACTTGAATGATATTTCATTCAAAAATAAATTGAAGAACTTTCTTCTTGAATATGCATTTTATAGTGTGGAGGAGTTTTATAATTGTTGATGTTCAAATATTGTCAAAGTTTCCAATGTGTATGTATGTTTGTTTCATATTTTGTCTTTGTGACTTTACCTATAGGTACACTATTTTAGCATTGTATTATATTTGTAACCATTTCTTCGTTTGACTAGTCTGATAAGTTTTGTACATTGTGTATGAGCTATACCTTGTATAATCTTTGATTGACGAATAAATTTATCTTATCTCATCTTATAGGGTGTTGAAAATACGAGTCTGAATAACGTTTTTTGATGAAAAGTTCGAAACGGTTTGAGATACATCACCAACATTTCTCGCAGATACTACACTTTTTACGCTCTATGAGATGAAACAGTGAGCATATAGCACTCTTGTTTCAACTACAGAATCTTATTATTGAACTGAAAATGTTACGACATTGCTGAACCGATTCAACTCGAAAACGGCCAATCGCATCAAAAACTCACAAGTGAGCAAAGACCTATGTTTTTTCAGATTTTAAACTACAAATTGAAAAAGAAATGCACATAGATTCAGCGGCCACTGAATTACTTTATGAAATAATCTTCATTCCATCTTATTATAGAAAGTGGCAAGTTCAGTATCTGTGAGAAATTTCAATGATTTATCTCAAACCGTTTCAAACTTCTCATCAGAAAACAATATTCAGACTTGTATTTCCAACACCCTGTATCTCGAAAACGACGCGTTTGAAAGTATATGTTTATGTAATTTTTTTTTGAATATTTCAACGAGTACAACGCACTGTTGAATATTTTGTATTCCAAACCGAACCAACCTGTATGGTGCGCGAAATGATACTTTGGTAATCGAGATCTGATTCAGTCGAGATCACCAAAGTATTTCACGTACGGGTTGCTAACAAAATGTTTCCCATAAACGTCAAAAAATAATGTTCTCAAATAAATATTATGTTTTAGATTGATATGAAAAATATAGTGTTGATCTGGCCTTAAAAGGCATGATCTCATTGTTGAACGTTCAGATATGAATGCTTGGTTGATTGAGGACCAATAATAAATACAAAAATCCCCTATAGTTTACATGCAGTGTGCGAAATATGTATTACGAACACTATTTGACTTCGCACACTGTTTTGCCCACGGTGTCATGGTAACAACGTAGGACGCTGAAAGAATGTGTCACTTGAGATATTATTATAAATGCGCGACCCTTGTGATATTTTGACGTATTCAGAAAATAGTTATTTGTTTCACTAGGCAGAACAGCTGGTTTACTAGTATCGACTACGCCTTGGCTATATATGAAATGCCAGCCGCGGCATTGAATAATCTTCTTCATATAATTCTTGCTCTAAATTTGTTTCAATTTCACGCAAAGTCCAAATTATCCATCATTTTGTGTTCACCCAAATTCATTGTTAATTTTGGTTACTAATTTGAGTCAAATTTATTACTCGGAACGTTGCAAACTTGTTCTGCCCAGGCAGTAAAAGTACACCTTTTCTGCCTGTTCAGTGTCATTAAGAAGCTACTTTCCATGTCATTCGGAGAAACTAGCTATTTGTTTTACTATGCAGCAAAGTGTAGTGGATTGACTGCCGTGTGTGAAACATGAAATTTTTCTCCAAATGTTATAAAACCAATTCTGTGTAATTTAATATTGAAAACTTTGATAACCAATTTCATTAAAATTACTTGGAACGTTTTATAGCAACACGCTTTTCCTGCCTAGGCAGAGAAAGTACACCTATTCTGCCTGTTAAAAGTGTCAGAGAAAACCCACTTTCCGTCATACCGCTTGGAAAAAAATGATATTTTCCCTATTGATCATAATAGCAGTCACTAAAACCTCATGATAGTCATTTTATAAGACTTCACCTGGGGTCCCCAGAATCATATATGTCCGATCCGGGTCTACCTAGATGCAATATTGAAAGTGGCTCTAATGAAATGAGGGCGTAAACACTTTTTTCCACCACTAGCGATAGAACCTACCGTTAATTATTCCTTTGGAAGGTGTGAAGTGTATTTTTACTACCAAGGTAGTTTTCGTCATTTTATCAACGACTAGTCAATAAAGACAGAGGCACCTCTGTCACCATTAACCCGAATTCACTGTTCTGATGCTTTATTCACAGGAATGGCACTCAAATCTAGTAGGTATTTATCAATATCGACTTGTCATATGCTGTCATGGCATGACTAGATTTTAATTAGAATTGAAAAGAAGTACTTTCATAGTGTCATGGGTACACATTTCAGTTTCACAGAACTATAATGATTGAGATATATTGCTAGTGGTGAAAATAATGTGATATACACCTTGGTAGTAAAGAATACTATTACCACGGGACCTTCTACCCTTCTTCTGAAGCCTCGGGATATAATCTTGGTCCCTGAGTAATTACGATATTCTTTAATTTAACTTGGTGTATGAATAAATATCAAAAAGGTCACATATGATCCAGGATTGTCTCAGAGATCCAAAAATGATACAAGATACAGGTGTGTTTCATTTGGAAATTCATAACTGGAACCATTTCTAGTGAAACCGGAAGTGACCGGAACGTGAACAATATGTGAAAAAGTTCCTCTTTGCATACCATTTACCTATAACGAATACACCTGTTATATTCTAGAAGTTATGACTAGTCTAATATTCCTGTAGAACGGAAAATCTTTAGAATACTTCGCCACAAAGGAAGTATTCTCAAGGTGGGAACAGACCAAGCAAACATTGTTGTGCAACAGTGGAACAACACTAGAGAATCACTCAAGTTTACACAGTGCGTACGTGTTGCGCAACAGTTGCACAACAGTTGTGCAGCTGTTGCCAAACTGATGGTCGGTGTTTGCTCCCAAGGCGGTACTTCAAAGGAGATGTGGAACAACAGTGCGCACACAGCGTCTGCAGTGTAGACGCATGTTCTTCGTCGCTCATGATGCCTGACTGAACGAACACTGGACAAACACCGGAGAAAGCAGGCTGGTCGATGTTGCCCAACAGTTTTTCGAAAATGTTCTCTCCCAACGGAAACAAGTTAGCCAACAGTTGCCTACCTGTTGTTCAACTGTTGCACAACAATGTTTGCTTGGTCTGTTCCCACCTTCACGAACCTATATGATAACTTCAAATTTCAATGAAAATTCCGAAGCCAATCTACTCTCCATCTCCTCTATGCCAGGGTGCATGGTACCCTACTGTACCATGTACCCTCTGAATTATTGTTATAAAATCACAGAAATTACGACTGAACTTGTTCTGATACACCACTGGAATGTTTAACAATTCAAATGTAGTAGACACATGGCTATAATATTCAGGAAAGTGCATGTATAATATAGCAGCATTCCTTCAGAAAGTATTCATTTTCCTGGCGAAGAAACGAGAATAAAACAATAATGTCCGTGAACCAACAAGATTCCGCATATCCGGAAAATGTATTTTCCGTAAGCGACATTATCCAAAAATTATCTGGAATATGGATTCCGGGATCTGATGTTAACATTATACTCAGAATATTATATATGGCCTTTGTTGCAATGCTTTATGGTATCGGAATAATATTTCTGATATGTGAAATCGTCATTTTCTACAAGTCTCTGGCAGATATCGACAAACTCATCAGCAACATTAGTATGTTGCTAACCCATCTTGTTGGGGCATTCAAGTTCTGCATTGTGGCGTTTGGGATTAAAAAAATCAGGAATATAATGGATACTTTGCAGGATAAAACATATCACTATACGGCTCTGGGTGAATTTAATCCTGGACAAATGATGCAAAAACAAAAAACGATTAATTCCATTTTATCTGTCTTGGTGAGTAGCGTCAGAACAATTTGGATGATACTGGAGATTCGCACAATTCAAGTTTGGTAGAAGTCCATATTGCTCAAAGTGGAGTGAAATATTTCACAGGAAGGAAGGAATGCTCGAAGTCATCTCCACAAATTTTAATGATATTTTTAACTAATTCATGAGGGACATGTTTCGGTCTTATAAAAGACCATCTTCAGCCTAATTGAAAAGTTTGGAGTTGAAAAAATTATTTTCTGCCAATGCCCATAGTCGAGAGTTCCAAAATGAAAATTGAATAAACGGGTTCTCAAAAAATGAAGGGCCCCGTGCCCTGAGAGCGTATATACTAAGTTTTATTAAAGTACATTTCATATACTCAAAATGGTATATGAAGGGTATTGTCAAACAATTTAATATCTGACAACACCATGAACTAGCGGGTTTTTAAAAAAGGGGTTCCCCGTTCCCTTATGAAGGCCTTATTTAAAGCAGACTAACTAACTAACTAAGTTTAGATTTGAAACACGTGCTGGCTGCTTGCCCCATCAATTTTATTGATATTTGCTTCAAATAAGGCCTTCATTCATTAAATTGTTCGACAATACCCTTCATATACCATTTTGGGTATATGAAATGTTCTTTAATAAAACTTAGTATACGCTCTCAGGGCACGGGGCCCTTCATTTTTTGAGAACCCGTTTATTCAATTTTCATTTTGGAACTCTCGACTATGGGCATTGGCAGAAAATAATTTTTTCAACTCCAAACTTTTCAATTAGGCTGAAGATGGTCTTTCATCAGACCGAAACATGTCCCTCATAAATTAGTTAAAAATATCATTAAAATTTGTGGAGATGACTTCGAGCATTCCTTCCTTCCTGTGATATATTTCTATAATTAAATTCGGCGATTTCGAAAAACGCCAGGTTCGATGACGTCATGAATCGAATTCTGGCTTTCGCATAAGAAGTAGGACCACATATTTAGACGCTGCCAGATTTGTAACTAGTATTCACCTTATGAGATCCAATATGATCAATCACAATAGTATTCACATCCACAGAGGACAGTAGTTCGACCTAGTTCCTAATGATCACTTATTGGATACTTATATACTTGCAAGATGCTCCAGTACCAATGGAAATATCTTAGTATTCCTAAAAATGATCGAGATTTTATTCAATCCCAAATTATTTTGCTGCACGGGCAACAGTGTAATGCCTCTAAGTTTCCAGACATACCAAAAAAGAAGAAGACATAGTAAATGGTCAACCTAACTCCCTAACGTTGATATCGGCTATCATCTTCGCCAAATCCTTGTTTTATATAGTCAAGATGCGAATATTCAAAGATAATCCTCATATTATCTAAGTCTTCAGTTGTGTTGTATTCTCAGTTATCTGCTTTTAGTATTCAATCCAGAAAATTTATTTCACATTCTGATTGAAATGACAATCAAAAATATTCTTGCACTTGTCTATCAGAAATTGAGAATTGATACGTGAGACGATTCTCATATGGTGTTCTCGGATGATTAAGTCACGCGTTTTTCCGCGTTCTCAAAGTTTTGAAATATCGTGAATTCCGATAATTATTTAAAGAAGTTCCAGAATTCTGAGGAAAAAACGGTTTGCGACAGTGAACTAGTTAGGTTTTGTACTTAGAAATATTGAAATACAATTTTTTACTGAAACATGCCCATTGTATCAGAACATTATAGGAGCTCTCGAAAAGATAACATATGTATCTGGTGAATCTTAAGTCTCCGTCGTGATAGATGACAAAAGTGATGATACTAGCGAAGTAAAGAAATGAAAAGTACGTGTTCATATCAGGTATTTACGACCCCAGCGAGCACAAACATCCCTGGGATGTTTTGGGATTTTCTGAAAATGTTGGCATGAAGATGTTATTTTGAGACGAATATGCACTGACCAAAGAGGTCTTTGAAGGATATTGAAATATTGTTTTTGTTCTTCTGTGGCATTTCTTTGATTGACTACTGAGAGGTATCCCTGGGATGTTTTGGGATGTTTTAGAACTGTAGGCATGAGGATGTTTTTTTGAGGCGTAATATGCACTTCCCAAAGAGGTCTTAGAAGGATATTGAAAGTATTGTTTCTGTTCTTTTGTGCCCTTTCTTTGTTTGTATATCCTGTTGAAAAACTGATCTTGACCAATACTGCTGGTGTTCTGTAGGACGGAAATATCAACAATTATTGTTTCTACCTTGGCAGTCCCCGCGAAATTAACCCGTCGAGTTGAGGCTTCGCACCCCTTCGTGGTCACTTTGGAGACCTGCAGACCATCTCTTTCCAAAGACTCTTTCTTCCAACGAACAGTGAGGCTTGGAACACATTGCCAAAGGAGGTGTTCTCCGAGGCATATAACCTCTCGAAATTTGAGGAGAACACCAATTCCTGGCTTATTTCCCTTGGTTCTCACGATGTTCTCTGAACATTACAGGATATCCCTTTTCATGGGAATCAGAACATAAAAAAACGTGATCTGTCGTTGGGCAAGGTTTGACAACACCGAAAATCGCGGAGCTTTTCACAAACTTTTTACACAAAAATTGCTACTCTCGCATGCGGTGATTGCGGTGTCAGACTCTGGAAATCCCAGGTCCTTTGGGCTTTCGTCGCTAGGAGCGCTGTTCTCAGGATCGGAAGTAAATCTCAAAACGCAAAAACAGGCGGTAAGAATTCGAGTGTGTGAAATCAATTTATCAATAACTGATTCTGAGTACACCACTTGGTAGGTAATTATAATGTATTAAATAATCAATTGTGAGCTAAATTTGGTACCTACTAAATCTAAAGAAAAGCATGGCGAGAGACGTTGTTGAAAACACTTAAATATTTCATTCAATGACAACACTCCAGGAAAAATAAATTTTTTTCATGTAATTGATAAGAGTAACTCATGTCATAAAACTATTTTTAAGGGGTAAAGTGCATCCATCTTGACGAAATTGACAAAACAAAAAATCAGGAATGTTACATATACAGTGTGACCCACTTGAAAGCGGGACACCTCAATAAAATTTGTATTAATCCACCGATATCGACAAACTTTTTTTTGAATTGTAGAGTTCGAAAAACTGTACTTTAGGACGAAACATATTTATATTTCTATAAAATCCAAGGCCTACTGCGTTTATTTTTAGAGGATAAAAATCAAGAAATCGTATTAGCGATTTTTTTACGAGAAATTCAAAATCACCATTAGATTCAGCACCCCCACAAATGGTTGTATACCAAATTTCATGAAAAAATATTCGATATTAATAATTTTGTGGCCAAATCAAAATTCACATTGCACCAGTATAGCCGCGCGGATATGCGAAATCGCGTGCTCCTGACTGGGCGCGAGAAACAAAAGACGATTGTTGATTTTTATTGCCGCTGTCACAAAGTGTGTTGGAATATTAGTAGCGTCAGATTTTGCCCGATTATTTAGAGGAATATTTGGAAGTGATTAATTATTATGGGAGAACTAAGTGTAAGAGATAAAATTGAACTTGTGCGTCTTGTCGGAGATAATGCTCTTTCAGCAAGAGAAGCTGCCAGAGAATTTCATAACAGACATCCTGATAAACTTCCAGTGAGTAGCAGTACTGTTAATCGTATTAATGCTGTTTTCAATGAAACAGGTAGTGTATCGAGGCATATGCTCAAAAACAGAAATAATCCACGTCGTGAGTATAGGAATGATGCGCGAGTATTGCAATATTTTCGGAATAATCCTCATTCAAGCTTGCGAACGGCTAGTCTGGACTTGCATATTCCTAGAGAAAATGTCAGGAGATGCCTTGTAAGGAATAAAATCAAACCATTCAAGCCAAAAGTTTTACATACTCTGGAACCGGGAGATGAAGAACGAAGATTAGAATTCTGTTTTTGGGTTCAGGGAGAATATCTGAATGATAATAACTTCTTGAACGAAATTTTGTTCAGTGACGAAGCTACGTTCACTACAAACGGAGTTGTGTCGTCCCAAAATTCAAGGTACTGGTCTACAGATAATCCTAATTGGGTTATCAATGCAAAAAGGCAGTATTCTTATAAAATAAATGTGTGGTGTGGAATACTCCATGATAAGATTATCGGCCCTTTTTTCTTTGAAGGTAATCTGAATGGAAATATATTTTTGGACTTTTTAAGCAATGAATTCTGGGACGCAATACATAATTTACCAGTACATGATCGCCTGAATTTGAAATTTCAATTAGATGGCTCTCCTGTACATAACGCAGCCTTGGTGAGAGAATGGCTGAATGATAATTACAGAAATCGGTGGATTGGTCGGAATAGTCCTTTCATTCACTGGCCGCCAAGATCCCCGGACCTGACACCACTGGATTTTTTTCTTTGGGGTATTGTGAAACAAAAAGTTTATAAGTCTAGACCGCAGTCAGTAGAAGAACTTCGTATCAGAATAACTGCAGCTTGTGCAGAAATCACGCCAGAACAACTGAGAAAAGTTATATTGAATATAAGAAGAAGATATGATAAATGCATTGCACTGAATGGCGGATTGGTTGAAACAACAAGAATTTGATGAACGTTCATTTGTATGTCTAGCTATAATAGTTATTGTTTTTAATTGTTTCATTCTTTCCATGGGTTACTTGATCAGAATAAATATGGTTCATTCATTTCTCTCATTTGCCCCATAATCATCAATGATTACTTTTTATTCATTTCACTTTTCATTTCATCATATACTCGAATTAACTTATAATACGAACTCGAATTTTGATTTGGCCACAAAATTATTAATATCGAATATTTTTTCATGAAATTTGGTATACAACCATTTGTGGGGGTGCTGAATCTAATGGTGATTTTGAATTTTTCGTAAAAAAAATCGCTAATACGATTTCTTGATTTTTATCCTCTAAAAATAAACGCAGTAGGCCTTGGATTTTGTAGAAATATAAATATGTTTCGTCCTAAAGTACAGTTTTTCGAACTCTACAATTCAAAAAAAAGTTCGTCGAAATCGGTGAATTAATACAAATTTTATCGAGGTGTCCCGCTTTCAAGTGGGTCACACTGTACTATGAGTAGCTTCATTGTAATGCATTCTTTTTATAGAAATGAAAAAAAAATGTTTTGAACCATCAACAATTGGACAACTATGTATACGGTTAGTTTGATTGGAAATGACCCCCCCCCCCTACCACCCCATTTCTTTTGATACATGACTTATGCGACACCCTATATACAGTTGCTGTTTCATCATCATCATCACCATTAACATAATCATCATCCTCATCATCACCATCATCATAATCGTCATCGACATCATCAAAATGTTTTCTTCTGCGATATAAAATGTCCGTGTGAAATCCATCCTCATTTTGTGGATTTTAATACGTGTTGTAAGTGAAACAAGAACTCGAGATCAACGATATTAGCATTGTAAAACAGTAACAAACAATATTCCAACTACCCACAAACTCAGTTCCAACACTAATGATTATACTTTCTTTTCAGTTTTTTGCTTTATACGGCATGTGTGGTATGTCAGCTTACATGTCTACAACGTTATCACTGGATATGGGTCTGGAGCACGACTCTTTCGAAATGGCTAATATAACATGTTATGATTTCATGCCTTATGTTTTCTATATTCCTTTTCCCACAAATAAAAAATGGGAGTGTAAAATGGCTGCTCTGTTCATGAACATTGGATTGCAGTTATTTGCTGGGGTTATTGCATGTGAGAATAGATTCGAATATTCTCAGAAATATACATTGACAACAATCTTCTGTAGGTAATGATGGGCTATTTGTTGGACTCCTTGGTTGTCTGAAGACTCAGTTGATGATCGTTTGTCATGTTTTTACAACGATTAGGGTGAGAACGCTGAAGAAACTCGATTTACCGGAGAATCACTTCGTTATGCACGACAGTGAAAACCCAGTTTTGGAGGAAGAAATGTATATGCAACTCAATGGAGTCATCAGGCATCTCATGATACTATTGAGGTGAGTATTCAATATTCATATTGTGAAGAAGCGCTGGTTTATTTCCATTCTATGGTTTGAAGTGGCTCTAATATTCAGTCAATTGCTAACTGATTCTTTTTCGTGAAGTAATTCAGTCTGATAATATTGATGTGAAAAACAATAACTTTATTGTGAACTTGGTCCAATATGTTTTCTTTCAATCGAATTCACATCTGAATCCCAACGACGGATGGAAATAAAACCATTGAAAAATGCAAACTCAAACACACTAAATAATTGTTTTTGGTACCTGAAAAGTAGGAACAACAGCCAGTTTATCGATAATGTAAAGATTTTGATCCCAAGATTCTGGATGGTTTCACAAAATACAGCATTGTCCATTGTAAATCATGTTAACATTACGATACATGATCTGTTAAAATATTTTTGCTCTTGGGTGGAAATTACCGACGTTTTAATTTTTCGAAAAACATCTGATATTAATGGGTTAGTTTGTCGGGTTTTCACGCCAAAACTGAACCAACGTTTTCGATAGATGCGGTTATTCTCTCTCAAATTTGCAACCATATGCCTCAATTTACAATTCCTCACGATTCTTGGACGCATATTTCTCAATTAAATCTAGCTGACCCCAAGTTTCACACTCCCGGTCCTATAGATCTCTTATTAGGAGCTGACTTCTTTCCTCTTACACTTGGTCCGGGACGTCTAGTTGGAAATGAAGATGAACCGGTGGCGATAGAAACAGTTCTTGGTTGGATACTTATGGGCCTCGTTAATATCCCTCTCGCCTCTACAGAAATGTTTATCTTCTACGAATCAATGGACTGTATTTATTTTTCACTATGTTTTGCACTCTGTGAATATGTGTATATCTCATAAACAAAATCTTTAGTACATGAGAAAAACGATCTGTGATATAACCACTTACCTTTAGTGAAGATTGATGTAGATCGAGAGAGTGGTCGATCAAAATGTTCCTGAGCGAGATCGAGATTTCTTGAGTCGGTCGAGATTGTGCACAACACCACAGTGGTACCATTAACGTATATTTTTCGACTGTCTCGCTGTCACCGAATCGTACCATGGGAGGTACGCAGGTACCTACGCACCAAAAACTCGCGTCGTCTCTTCCGTGGTTTTAATCCACGAGATTGTGGAAAATCACAGCAGAATAACGCGCCAAAATTGTATAAGTAAATTCAATTTATATTAAAAAGAATAGAAAGAGATTTTTTTAGACTAATACCAAATACCCAATTGAATTATAAACAAAATATATTAAAAATAAAATTATGAAGTGAGTGGAAACGAAACAGAAATTGTTCTATCCGTCATTCGGTTGCCCCCTTACGAGCAACCCTCAGAAGTTGTAATAGACCACTATGTATGTATATACATTAGACCACTCTGTATATTCATTTTCATTGAGATTAGTCCAGATAGTTGTGGATGCGGTAGGTAGGAACTGATAGGAGACGAAAGGGGGTTGTGGAGAATTATCAAAAAGAGATTGTTGCGAGAAATGTCAGAAAAAGATGACCAAATAAAAGAACAGGAACTGCGGTATTGATTCATACGACATTATAACCAAGGGAGTCCTGGAGGCTGAGTCCAAGCAGTAACTCCAGCTGAGATTGTGGAAACGGTTATTCGGTATTGAACGGTTGGAGCAAGATCTGATTGGCATCAACACTGGTCTGTGGAAGGTACATTGTGAGCTCACGAACTCAATAATCTTTTGTCGTTCGTCATCACCTCGTAGGAGGTGAATTAGGGTTAGTGATAGATAGTATAGGTACTGTATGATAATTAATATAGTTTAGTTACTGAAGTAGTGTTTTTTATTCACTTATCTGCCGAACCTGAATAAACCCTAGTCGGGATACTACGAAGTCTTCGAGAGACTTGCGAGAGCAAGGAATGAAACACTTTCTTCATCAGACAGATTTCTGCAGCGGGGAATAGGCGAGTGGATTATTATTTTTATTCCCTAAATAGAATCATCACTCAGATACCTTCAAATTTCATATTCTTTTAGAATATTTTTGGTCGATTTTTAGGTGCTAAAGTCATCAATAATGCCAATGTAATGCAAACTGAAATATAATCAGTAAGCTGGATTCCTCTTTCAACCAACTTTGAAATGAGGGGTCTCAAGCAATAGGGTTGCATTTGAAGAAACATGTTGATTCTAGCTACCTCTTGAGGGTTATAATCTCCATTCTGTCCGCCAAATGTAGGTAAATACATTCAAACGTTGGCGTGTCTCGCGAGTTTTCAGGAAAATCATTCACTCCCCCAGTAGCGAATTTATTCCAGTTGAAGTCTCTACCCTGTACATAGATTCTTGAAGGAAATTCAACTGTCTTCATATTTTTGAAGGAATTGCTTGCTGAAACCAATCACTTAGAGAATATAAAGAGATGTTTGATACAAAATGTGTAATAATATCTAATTCGAAAATCTCAAGTTTTTTTTTCTACGACGAACCGTACAGACCTATAAGTTGCTATAAGCGACAAGCCAAAAAGTGGAAACTTACTGCCCCTCCTCTCTAAACACCTCGAACAAGTTTCTGAAGTTTCTACTTACACCATTGGGTCATTTATTGATTGGGCTAGAGCCATACATTATTTATTCGTTTATTCGTTAATTCCAAATTTTAATTCTGAATAATTTTGCAGAGTCAGAGACGAGATAGAATTCATGTTCACGTTCGTAACATTGAGCCAAAGTATAGCTTCTCTATTCATAATAGCATCGTGTTTGTTTGTGGCTTCGACGGTGGGTTTGTACTTAATTTATAGTCGCTCTTTGATGATTAGTTAATACTCAATGTTTTTTCAGGTTCCGATAGGCTCTCCAAATTTTTTTAGCCAGTTGGAATATTTCGTCTGTGTCGTAGTACAGTTTTCATTGATATGTTGGTGCGGAAATGAAATCACGATTGCAGTAAGTTGCATGGCAAATGTATACTTGGTCATCGTCCACCAATATTCTTAGTGGTCCACTTAAATATTTCACCCAATTTCCCAATTTAGAAAACAAATATTAGAAAATATACCTACAATTCTGATTCTGGAACGATTCATTTCATGTGTTATAATCGTTAGAGAATGAGATGACCCATTGCAAAAATAAATATTGCCGAAGTTATCCCAATTATATGAAAAAATATGAATCGGCTACCTGTATTTTTTTAGGCAATTGACTGATTCTCATGAGGTTCTCGATATCAAATGTGATATTTAATGTCGAAAACTCCGAAGAACGATACTTACACAGGGTGTGAAGTGGAACCATTACACAATTGTTAACATTTGCGATGCTACCGCTTTAGTGATTTTTCCTTAATTCGCGATTGTAACAAAAATGATGAAGTTTTTCAGAGGTCTTGCATTTTTCGAAAATTTTTTACAGGAGTGGTCCAATTAGTGTGTTGAACACTGTATTTCATTAACGCGCATATTGGAATATCTTAAATTTCAGCGGATCTTTTTATTAAGTAGTAAAGTTTATTCATGGAATCAATACAGGGAGGAAGTCATCACTTCAATTCCTCTGATATTGAGCGAATATCGATCCATAGGTAGAATGGTAGAATTTAGTCATGCTCATTTTGAATATATTATCATTTTTGATGGTGAAATAATTATGTACACTCATATTCCTATTATTTGATGGAACTTATGAATAATATTATTGTAATCTGAATGTATTCTTAGTATGCCTTTTATGTATTGATATATTTTTAAATAAGACAATATTCAGCAAGCTCAAATTGTTATTTGAACTTTGATCACTTACTGCATATTGACGTAGGATAATTTTATATACCATTCCTGATATAATGTGATGAAATATCAATGTTCACCCTACTGGTAGATATACAGGGTGTCTGAAAAAGTCATGTCGTAAATGATAGGGCTGATAGAGTGAGCCAAAATAATGTCAGTACTTTTGATATAAAAAATGTCTATCGCACTTTGTTACGGAGTCAATGATATCAGACATTTTTCTTCCACCATTTGATTCCTTCATCTTTTCTCTACAAAAATAGTATACCTTATTTTTATCGATATCTCGTATCATTCTATGGAAAATCGTATTTTAAAAACATACATCCCAACCGTTTCAAAGGTAAGAAAAGCTCTATTTATTCAATAATATGATGGTAGTTGCAGTCTTTGTTTTGATTTTAACAGTATTTATACTTTGGTAACATCATGGATGAGTTTAGTAATGTTGAGTATGCATATGAAGAGACTTGCACAAACTTGTAAGGTCAATAACTATGTAACGAAGTGCGATAGACATTTTTGTTACATGAAGTGAGTACTATCATTATTTCAACTCACTTTATATGATAATAATATCGAGCTAATTATGAAACCTCGCATGTCACTTTATATTCTTGTTGAACAAATAACTATTGGACAATCATTATCCAGAAATTATATTTCTCACACTCGTTTTTAATGTTAAATGTGCAACACACATCAGTTTTGAAAATGCAATTTTATAGGTATGATAATCATACCCATTATATTATTTCCATTCTAGAGTGAATCTGTAACAACTGCTCTTTATGAATCTGACTGGTTCAGTAGCACAGCTCGATATAAGAAGTCTATGATTATCACCATGACTCGTATGCAACGTCCTGTATACTTGACTATTGGAAAATTTGCACCACTCTCCTTGACTGTGCTGCTTGGGGTAAGCTCGATTTTATATGTTGCTGTACAAAGAAATTCAAGTAGCACTTGATATTGTTCTTCAGAGAGTTATATAGGGTGTTCCATAAAAGTAGACCTTGTTGCTGGGATAGGTATAAAACTGGAAAATGAGTTCAGTTTGCTCAGAATTTCGTAACGGCATCTGTATTCAAGCACAAAAGTGTCGAAACAAAAATTATACAAATCTCTGACCATTAGGTACTACTTCAAAACTACTGGCAAAATTGTGATAGAATTTTGTACGAATATATGCTTCAGAAGCTTGAGTATATCGCATGAATTTGATTTTATATCTGACTCTTATACAGGGTGTATCTAAATAACACCGAAAAAATTTAAGGGTTGATTCCTTGTGATATATTAGGAAATGAAGTTCATATAAACCTGTGTTCTAACTTGCTTCGTTTTCGAGATACAGGGTATTAAAATGTCCATGAAAAATCTGTTTTCTATTAATTTCTCAATTGTCTACATCAATTACAATAAAACGTTGTGGTTTTGTTAGTGGTAATATGAAGCATCTTCTAAGGCAATTAGATTCGAAAAAAAAAAAAATTATTTCCAGTGGCGTTACAGTGGGTAAATTTATCGATATTCATGGTGAATGTCATTGTACCCCACCGGTTTTTTTGAGTTTCATATTTTCATTAGATTGAACTATTGAAATAACATCTTAGTTTTTGAGGAAACAATAAGAATTCGCTTTGATTTCCAAATTGTAATGTAGATGTTTTCCAGACTTCCATTGAGATTACTCAATAGCCCCAATTAGAATCATTTTGAAATTTTTGGGCTTCCTCAGTCTCCATCCATATTGAATTTTGGCACCATGAATGCTTATACAGGGGGATTATAAATAAAAATAATTAATACTTCCAACTTTAACATCGTGTATCTAGAAAATGGAGCAAGCTAGGGCACATGTTCATATGAATTTTATTCGCTAAATTGTCACAAGGAAACACGACCCCTTGGACTTTTTCGGTGTTATGTATAGATACACCCTGCATAGGGGATGCTAGTTGAACGGTTCGCTCTAAGGTCTGATTTTCTAGTCCAAATTTCATGTAAACTCGAACATCATTCAATTTATCGCTATTTAACATTGTCGATCTAAATGGAGAAGCTAGTTAGTAGTTGAGTGGTATAAATAATGTTTGTTAATTGCAAAAATCGCCCTCATTGTGACAGTTTCCTATACCGTAGAAACATGTACATGAACTGAGTTGTTCATTTTTTATTCCTAGCCTCACAAATTTCCATATTCTTGTTGAGCACATGCACTGTTAAGTTTGTAAATAAAAATCTCTATTTACGCCATGCTGTATTATAGCTTGATTAAATATGCTATTTGAATTTGAGTAGGAACTGCGCAGAAACCTCGGATGAAATTAATTTTTCCTATGATGAAAAAACGTTGGTGTTTGCACTTTTTTGACATGCAAGTCGAGCAGAGAAGTATGGGCTGCCTATTTTCCATTATATTTATGATGGGTGTCAACGAATCTATCTAGACAAGCGATAACTTCTAGAATATTCGGTGTATCAAAATGAAATCTAATATGGGTATATGGTATGCGGAGAAGAAATTTTTTGCATGTTCCTTGCTTCCCGGTTACTTCTGGTTTCACCGAAAATGGCTGGATGTCATCTAACAAATCCATAATTTCATGAAGAATATCGCTAGGTATCATCTTCTCCAACAAATATAAGTTTCAATGCACTTTCCATTTCCATATTCAATATCAATTATGATGCTCACTGCATGATTCACTGCATTAATAGGTAATATCGAATAACATCATTAATTCCTAGGGAATCCAATCTGAAGATCCAAAAATTGATATAATCTGATCTTTGATGTTTTTCATAGATAATTATGTTGATTGTGAGTTATTTCAATTGTACGTGGTTGTCACAAGGTTGTCATCACATTTGTAATTCTCCATTCTTTGCCGTTTTATTCGTTCCTACACAATTTCTACACTAGAGAATCACAAAAAAACGCGACTATTACATGTCATTCTCAGGAGTTTTTACGCAACCTTCATTTTTTCAGATTCAATGATATTGCATCTAGGTGGCCATGAATATTGTGTGTTGTTTGTATATCATGAACACTAAGCATTTTTTATTGCAGGTTTTTAGAGGATCTTTCTCATATTTCACAGTCTTCAAAAGTATTCAGTGAAGATATTCTGAAAGTTACAGGAAATGAAGTCTCATGGTGTTATCCATTGAACAAGGAACCCTACTGGCAACGACCAAAATATCTGACATTAACGTAGATACCTTTCTTTAGGCATTAATCAAATATCAGCAATTTTCATTATATTCGAGCTACATAATAAATAGAAAGTTAACACTTCTCTTGATTAGTTTTCCATTTCACGAATGCACCACGAATGACATGAGTCTCATATGAGTATATACAGGGTGTTACAAACTCCACCCTCTTTACTGGGAACTATTCGCGATAAAAAATAGCACGTCGCCCCTCCTAAGGGCAACAACTTAAACACCTCTGGGCGCTTTGTTTTGATGATATGACCAATGAGCACAAACAAAAAATGTGAACCAATAAAAACGAAGTAAACAGGCTGCTTTGACAACTTTCCAGTAGTCCGATAGGTGTCGTACGCTTATTTTCTTTCGCGAACACAAGGTCTAATTTAATTGATGGCTATAAGAATATAGGATATGATAGTTCATTTTAAGTAGATCATTCCATATGAACATTATACTCTAAAGCTATCAACTTTCGATCTACAGAGTGTTAGAATTTTTTAGATGAAAATCGTTTTCTTCAAAATTTAAATACTGTTCTAGATATATTCATGAAGTTTGACATGCACATACTAAGCACCATGTGGTTGTGGGTAAGATGTGTTTTTGTTTTATTTCCATCCAAGTGAAACGAATTTATTGAATTTGTTGGTATGATTTCAAATTTCTCATGAGAAAACGGTCCGTCGGACGGAAAAATCTGGAGGTGATTGTTGCGAAATGAATTGTTGGAAAAAGTAAATTCGTACCATTTTTTTTAAACAATCTTCAATATACAGAGTGGGCCTTTGAAAACGAAACAGAGGCTCTGTAGGTCGCCAAAACCGGATTATCAAAAAAAACTGAAACAGGTCAACTACATTTTCGAGGGGGACATCTTTCTAAAATATTTTTAGCCCTGCGGAGTTGCCGCTTCTAAAGAAAAGAAGCAACAACTTTGTTATTTCAAATGGAACACCTTGTATTTTATTGCATTTTTAGATTCTCCCCGAAGAGCTAATTTCATTAAGTGTTCAAAATCGAGATTTTTCAACTTTAAAATTTTTTTGTGTCGAAACTATTCATTATTGGTCAAAACGGCTCTCATGTCCCGATCTCAACTTGTGATTTACTATCTACTGACATTTATTTGAAACAAATACAGGGTGGTTCAAGATTCAGAATTCAGAATTATTACGTTAATTTTATAAATCACCATAATATGGGCACATGAATCCTCATGTCGTGATTTCATCAGTTGGTACCTACCTAGTACTAGCCTAGTACCTACCTATCAGTTCGGATAATCAACAAACGTCACGTCTCGTCACACAAATGTGAAACATGGCCTACTAGATATCTTGTCATTACTTCAATTGAAACCCGTGAAACAAAGTCAGGAAAAATAATATCTACCTGGAATTTCGATAAAAAAATATCGTGTTTTTACTTATCATCTATTCTTCTGTCAATTACTATTCAATTAAAATGTAGGAAAAATCAATTCACATGATAAAAAAATCAATTTACACGAATCCAGTTGAAAGATAAAAGTTATCAGCCAGGTCAAAATTGAAAATTCTATGGAGCGTTTTTGTTCCATACTTTTTTATTGAACCGGTCAAAGTGTGCCGTGTAAATTGAAGAGCAGTTCTTATAGCATTTTGTCTGATCTTTCTGAATCTAATAGAATTTTTCGAGAAAAAAGGTCACATAGTGAACTTTTTTGACATAACAATGAAACATGAAATTTTCCCAAGTCCGGACCTGGATATTTTTCTTCATAATATGTTATCTTGAATAGTTTCAGTAGAGATACGTCGCTGCCAAATTTCAGCAGATTAAGATGAATCATTTCTGTAATATCGGCCATGAAAGTTATTAAATAATTTCACATAATACCCTGTATCTTCGTTATGGAGGGTCAAAAAATGTTTTCATTTATATATATATACATCAACTCGTCTTGATTTCCCCTATAAACCATTTGGCTATGTGAGTCTTCTCATGAAACACCCTGTATATATAGACCGAAAATTTGTTTCAAAATGAAAAGTACCACGTATTTTCATGGGCCAAAATCTGTTTCATAATGGAAATCCGTGATAAATCGGTAGCAAAAATGAGATGGAGAAGAGACACTGTGGAAGGTTGTCAAGAATGTCAAATCCAAGAAAAAGCCTATACCTTCCATCCAGGGGAGGAATAGATTCTCTTTATGATAACGTTGGGAAGTCTGAAGTTTTTTCCGATTCCCTGGAAGATCAATTTACCCCTCACAGGGCTTCAAACTGAATAACCTATCTTTCCTTCTGATAGCCTCTTACAGACCCCCATCCACCAACGTGGATCTATATCTAACGGAACTTGAAGATTATCTTTCCTCGCTAGACACTCATCATGATATAAATATCTTTTGCGGGGATATAAATATAAATACTCTAAACCTTGCAGACAGGAATGTCATCAATTATACCTGTATATTAGCAGAATTGGGATTTTTCCCGTAAATCAATAAACCAACAAGAGTAACAGATAGTACATCGAGCTTGATTGACCATATCTATGTCAAGATGCAAAATGCAAATACTCATAATGATACAAGAGTCAGATCATATATTTTTAAAACAGACATAACCGATCACTACACACTTATGCTTTCCGTCCATCTGGATTCTCCAATAAAGGTGATTGAACATTCCGATTCAAAACAAAAAAAAACTACCAATTATAATAAACTCCATAAGTTATTGAAAAGAGAAAACTGGGGGGAAATCTATCAATCGGTTGAACCAGAAACAGCATATAATTTGTTCATTGGAAAAGTTTCCCATTATATTGAAGTTAGTACAATAACGAAAGTATTTCACATGAACAATAATAATACAAAGCTTAAAGCTTGGATGACTACTGGTTTACTGAATTCCATACGACACAGAGATCGTCTGAAACAAAAATTTATAAAATCAAAAAGTCCCGAATCTAAATCAGAATACAAAACATATCGTAACTTCTTATCAAACCTCCTCAGGACCACAAAAAATCAATATTACAGAAACCAAATCGAAGTGGCACAGAACAACTCGAAAAAAATATGGGAGTGTATCGGCGAAATTACGCATAACAAAAAATCTTCGGGCTCATACACCTTCAACATCCATGATGATGAAAATAAAGAACTGAACACGGATAAAAAAGCAGATCACTTCAATAAGTTCTTTTCCAATATAGGTACAACAATGGCAGAAAAAATATTAAAATCCGATCAATCTACCCCAGAAAGAAAGATGAACATCAAAGATTCGCTATTCTTACACCCTGTAACGATATCCGAATTGGTCGACGTTATATCGTCTCTAAAAAATAATACCTCATCGGGACCCGATGGAATTTCTGTGTATCTTTTAAAAAAATTTCATACAATCTTTGTTGAACCATTGTGTTTTATTTTGAACTTGATATTTAGTCGTGGAATAGTGCCTTCCCGGTTCAAGGAGTCAACAACAACACCAATATTTAAAAGTGGTGACAAGAAAAAAGCTACCAATTATAGGCCAATAACTGTAATAAACAATTTTGTACTAAAAATAATATTCTGTCGGATAACCAATTTGGATTCAGGGAAAACCTCTCTACTGAAACAGCAGTATTTCAATTGACAAACTCAGTATTTGAATGTTTCCAAAATCAACAAAAATGCTTGACAGTATTTTTAGACCTGGCTAAGGCTTTTGATACTGTCAATCATGAAATACTGTTCAATCGTCTGGAGTGCAGTGGAATCAGGGGCGTGTCATTGGATATACTGAAAGATTATCTCTCGAAAAGAATGCAGGTAGTTAAGGTGAATACTTCTTTGAGTGATCCATTACCAGTCACCATGGGGGTTCCACAAGGGACAGTATTGGGTCCTATCCTTTTCTTGTTGTACATAAACAGTATTTTCTCTATTGAACATGTCGACGGTAACTTGACATCCTATGCTGATGACACCGCTGTGTCTTTTGTAGGTAACACTTGGGATGAAACATACAATAAAGCTGAAAAGGGAATGGCATTAATTTCTAGCTGGCTCAGTAATAGTTTACTAAGCCTCAATATCGAAAAAACCAAATTCATGGCATTCTCTTCGACGGCCAAAGATCAACCCACACTTCAGACCCTTCATATCCATAATGTCAACTGTGATGCATCCACTAATTGTCATTGCCCCTCCGTTAAAAAAACTCAATCGATAAAATACCTGGGTGTTATGGTAGACCAATTTCTGCGCTGGAACGAGCATATCACATACACTACAAAAAGACTTCGTAAATTGATTTACAAATTTTACCAACTCAGGAATATTCTGAATAAAAAAACTCTCATGATGATTTATAGCGCACTATCAGAATCCATTATTCGTTATTGTATCATTGCTTGGGGTGGAACATTCAAAACTACATTGTGGAATTTGGAGACAGTCCAAAATACCTTACTGAAAATCTTATTGAAGAAAAATAAAAGATTCTCCACCACGAAATTGTACGAAGAAGCGGATGTCTTCAATGTGAAGAAACTTTATATTTATCATTGTCTCCTGTGGATTATGAACACACCCTTGAATTTTAAAACACACCCTTATAACACCCGCCTCAACACAAACCAGAATATTGATGTCCCCTTTGCCAGACTTCGTCATAATCAGAGATTCGTAACATATATTGGACCCAAACTTTATAATCAATTACCCTCTGAATTGAAGAATGTTACCAGTATCAAAAAAATTAAACCAAAATTGAAATGTTTTATGAAGAATAGTTTTGATTGCTTAAATGCTATACTGGAAAACATTTAATGGCCACACATGTTTGCTCTCATTGAACTTGTCTACATTTTCCATCCAATGAATTGTATCCATATAATGAGAACGATGATGCCACAACACAAGCTTGCTTAGGTGGCATCTCCTTCTCTATAAATTTGTATCCCCAGCTCCTATATTATGTTTGTAACTGATATTACGTTAATGCTATATTTTTACACACATTTCCTATTGTGCTCTTGTGCTCTGTCATATTAACTGTCATATTAACTGAATAAATACTTACTAAATACTTACTAAATACTTACTAAATACTTACTAAATACTTACTAAATACTTACTTACTTACCATGTTGTTCACCGTGACCCTAATTGGGAGGGCTGTGATAGATCAGGTTTCTGTTGCTCTGAATGTGGGCATTGACAATGTTCGTGTGACCTGACCTGCATTTGTGGATAGTGGAGAGAGTTAAAGGCTATATTGAAGGCACCAAAACCGATAAGGTTCCAGAATTGGATGGCATTACGAATTGAACCCTGAAAAGGTTTTTTTTATCGCTTGGAGCGCACGAAAGGGAATCCCTATAATGTTCGAAGAACATCGTGCGTTCCTAGGAAGGATAGGGATAGGAGGTAGGTATTTGAATGGATGCCAGGAGAACTGCTTGATTTTTCTTACCAGAATAATCAATGTAGTTCTCGCTTTAACCTATTCTCCACAGAGGTGTGAAAGGGCACATGTCTAAGTTTTCTAGCGACAGAACCCTGATATATTACCGAACACCCAATCAGTCTTCTTAGTCCAATCTCCACGGTGGCAGAGAAGGTTATCCGGCAGAGATTTCAGAAGCATGCCTGTCTTGCCCTCCTTGACGTGGAGAAAGCTCTCGACACGGTGTGCCATGATGGGCTGCTGTAAAAGATGATCGTGAATGATTTTCCACCAAATCTGATCATCCTTGTGAGTTCCAGGTGAAACTTAACAAAACACTATCTAGAGTGTGGCCCATCAAAGCGGGAGTGCCTCAAGGGGCACCTCTTTTGTATGGTCTCTTCACGTTCTACCTTCCAGATTTAAATATGACAAAATTATCATTATTTGCTGATGACACTGCTGCCTGTCGTTTTGCACTCTCTGGGTGGAGAAAGGACAGCAAGAAATCATCAAGATTCCTTCTCTTTCAGAACAATATTTCGGTTTTTCAAAAATCAGAATTAATCCTGAAAAATCTCAATTAATTTGTTTTGGTAACGAACTCCTTTCCCCCTATAAATACAATTATTTCTGTTGGTGGTCAAAACCAAGTCTGGTGGAGTCAAGTGAAGTATCTATAGGTGTCATAGTAGCCCCCCAAAGGCCCACCTGGAGCTACCAGATTGATGCTCAGTGCATCATGAACAAGAGCTTGAACCTCTTCCTGAACAAGAAGCAAGTTGAGTCTGGGCATCAAGGTCTTGATGTATAAAGTAGTGATTAGGCCTATCCTATTGTATGCCTCAGCAGCTTGGGGTCAGGTTAGGTTAGGTTAGGTGCATCAAGACCAAGAGATTGATTCTCTTCCTAAACAAAAGCAAGTTGAGTCTGGGCCTCAGCAGCTTGGGTTCAGGCCGAAAATTCCACTCTGATTAAATTGCAAACGATTCCGAAGAAAATCGCGAGAGAGGTTACTGATTTACCTTGGTATGTCCGCAATACTCAATTATTGGCTAGGGATCTCAAAATCCACGTTATCAGACAACTTATCCGGGAGAGCAATATGTCAAGAGCTTTGAGGAAGGAGGCTGATGCACATGCCAACCCTCTAATCAGGGATGCGGTTGACTACGACCCTGCAGGAAGTTCAAGATTCAAGCGACCTAGGCTCTCCCTTCCAGATGCGCGAAAGCATTTAGTCTGTTAAAACCTGAAAAAAAAACCATAAATCCACTCCTCCAACTCAAGAATCTTAAAAGAAGTCTGCCCATGTTGAACCCTTCTGCTATCCTCATCTCTAGTCATCAAAATTAAAGTCGAATTTGTCTGAATTATTTTTCTAAACAGTTTTTTATAACGATATGTTCTTAGAATAAGAGGGCTTGCCCTGATTTGATATAGTGTAAAAGACAGGAAACCCAGCAGATATTTTTTTCGGAACTTAAAAATTTTTGTTATTGACAAGTAGTGAAGAAAAACGATTTCTCAGGTGGATGATAGGATACATAATATAGTGTGTTCTATAGCTTGAAGTGGAAAATAGATTTTCTGCTAAAATTATTGATAATGAGAACACCAAATGTAATGATGTAAAACGGTCTGAGATCCTTTCATGAAGGTATAATATTGAAGGATATTCTTACGCGAAATATTAGACATTTCCAAATAATTGTCAATTGTTACCGCTCACCAATTGACTTGGTGTATCATTCAGATAATTGAGATTCACACGGATTTTGATAATGAATGTATGCGTTTATTTCAATAAATCCCAAAATTAACAACATAGTAAAATGCACTTATTCACTTTCCAGTGCTAGACAAAACTCATTCGCTTTGATCAGTGCTCCTTTCTGAATATCCACTATCTCCTTCAACAGATTCCTCCATTGTTCAGCATCGGACAGTCTGTCGAATCCGTTTGCGTCCGCGTTGTTGTACAAATCGCACGCCATGTCATGGAAATTCACACAGCTCTGTATGACATGTCGCTGACTTTCCCGCAGCTCCCATTCGAGAGAGGAGAGTTGCAGTCGCTTTTCCTCCGCTCGTAGCATTTCCTCGTCTACTTCTGTGTTTTCCTCTTCTTCTTGTATCGCTAGAGGGGGATCGTCGTCCATTTCCATACTGTCGTTGGCTATCAGTTCTTTCACCTGAGGAATAAAGCACGGCAAACTGAAATACAGGAAATTCAGGAAAATTTATGGGGATCAGAATTATGAATTTGATGAAGGAAAATTTTTTTCCGTATTGATTTCATGTAATGTATAACGTTTTCTACGATTATAATATGAAATTGCTGTAGCTAGTCGATGAAACAATGAGATACAGTAGGATGATTGAATATGGATTTCACGCTTTCAACACCAAATATCTTGAAACCTAAATGAGATATTGGAGATTTCAGAACAAAATTTTGAATCAGATGATGTTGTCTTTCGAATGGTGCATGCCCTCCAAGCATCATATCTCCGTTTAAAATACGTGGGGAGGGGGGTGAAAATGTTGAAATTTTTCAGTAATACTGGGTGAATCAAAGGAATAAAAAGTGAGATTGATTGAAAATTCCGTCATGAAATCATCTAATTCAACTACATTCGGGCTGAAACCAGGAGATCATCAGTAGTAATATTATGAGTACTTCAAAATATTCGGGTTCGACATACAGTGTGACCCACTTCTAATGGAAACACCCCTGTATCTTAGGTACCTAATCGTTGGGTATGGATCCTGAAATTCTCTGGAGCGAGAGATATGCAAAAAATGCACTCTCAAATAGGGCAAAAATCACTTCAGATTCGGTATCAGGACGCCCAATTCACTAACTATTTATATTTTTCCTGAAAAATTTTTAGTTCTGAAGAATTAAATTTTGTCGCACTTTCCACGGAAGCAATCCCGTATATTACATAATTGACTTTATCTTTGGACTTTCCTTTCCTCCTGCAAATTTCAAAACCCTACCTCAATAATTACGTGAGATACGGGGGTGCTTCCATGAGGAGTGAGACAACATTTAATTTTCCTGAATTGAAAATTTTATTGTTTGTATGTGAAGTGTTCACTGCGACCACAGATATATTTATTGATCGTTTTTCATATTTCCAATCCAATTCCTGGTTTTCTTGGGAAGAAGTGCATCAAAACTTTTTTGATGATTACACTCCCGTACGGAACAAAAATTCTTCGATTCACTGGTCATAACAAAACTATGAACGTGAGATTTACAAACGCAAAATTATCAATTTATGGGAACAAACGGATATATTCGATATCGATAATATATCACCACAATGATATGACCCCATAAAATGGCATTATATTCATCTTAACAATTAATAATAATAATAATAATAATAATATAAGTTTATTCAAAAACGTTTACAAAATATACATTGGAATAAACATAAAGGTAATTTGAATAAACTGGGAAAAACCTTACGAAGTTAACCTTGACACCTTTCCTTTGACTTGTTTCCCTTTTTTTCCCCGGAGTTCATAGTTTGACTTTTCAAATGTAGATGTCGCCCACTCCAATTGTATGTATACTATCATCACTGATTGATCTACGAGTGTATAGTACACGTTCGAAATTTCGAGGATGCAAGGTATGTTAACAATACAACATATTGTTGTTGTTGTTCTTTATAACCCCAAGAAAAATATTTGTTTATAATAGGGATATGTAAACATGATATATATAACAATGAAAAAAACAACTTTAATTAATGAGTTATGTAAATATAACATAATAATTGAAATAAAACCATTCCAAGTATTCAAATCCGATTATAGTGTCATGCGTATATATTTTTTCATATTGACTTCGAATCTTGTTTCATCATCAATATGTTTCAAATCATAAGAATCATATACAATGATTCCGTTTTAGAATACTGATTGTTTGCCAATAATGGATGGGTTTGCTATTACTGAATTCAACTGTCTCGTTTCATGAGTATGACTTGTATTTACTTTAGTAGGATATTTTTATTTCTTTTATATTTAAGAACAAACTTCCATTTTATATAAAGAAGATAAATTCAACAGATTTCTTTGGTTGTAAAGATAAATACTTGGTTCCAGATAATGTAAATTGTAAATGCACTTAAAATGCCAGTAATTGGATTTAGCTTTTTTCTCAGGTGATCTATATGTTTAGTCCACGATAATTGTTCATCAATATAAAGACGTAAGAATTTTCATAAACATCCAAATACTTCATAGCCTTCTGGTCGAAAAATATTGTTGTTCGATATGTCAGTTTTTATACCTACCCTGTCTGCATATCTCAGTGTATTCAGAGAATGATCCACTGAAAAGTTTCCTGGCGAAATTAGGGCAATCATGCAGGTCCTGGATTTTTCTCCTATGAAGGAATCCCTGAGTACTTGAGTGAGTTTGCTGCCCCTGAATGGTAGATGGGCACCTCGTCTTCCTAGGGCCCGTATACATTCTTTCAGGGCTAGTAGACTCTTGTTGATGTCCGCACCTGAAACATAATATAAATAATGTGATTACACTGATCAAAGTATACAAGAAATAAACCATAAAACACAATAAATGGAGGGTATAAATGAAAAAAAAAAATGATTTCTGTGTAATGGGGGTCTAAAGTTGATTGTTCATACATAATTCAGCACTTTCAGTAGTGATGATTATGTCTTGCACAAATCTACTGAACTGATGGAACAACTGAATTCAACAGTATGCGGTGTACCACAAGAATCAGTATTGGGCCTATTTCATTTCCTATTTTTATCGCCTCTATTGCAAATTTGAAGGTGAAAGGTGAAATTCATATGTTTGCCGATGACACAATCTCAATATATATTCAGCAGGTTCAGCACAACAAATTAAGGATGACATTTCAAGTGATTCAAAAATATTATTATCATGGTTATCATGTTAAAAATTGAGTATAAATTATAGTGAATTGAGTCATGAAATATTCAAATAATATCAAGTTTCTTGGTCTGTACATAGATCAAAATTTGTCATGGTCAAAACATATTAAAATACTTCGAAAAACAAATATCTCTAATAATAGGTACACTTTTAAGGGTACGGAATCAAGTTCCTATAAAATGTCTTAAATCTATATTTTTTTTTATGTTCTGGTGGTTCCCACGAAAAGAGATATCCTGCAATGTTCAGAGAACATCGTGAGAACCAAGGGAAATAAGGTAGGAATTGGTGTTCTTCTTGAATTTCTGGAGATTATATGCCTCGGGGAACACCTCCCTTGGCAATGTGTTCTAGAGCCTCGCTGTTCGTTGGATGAACGAGTCTTTGGAAAGAGATGTTCTGAAGGTGAAGTGACCACGAAGGGGTGCGAAGCCCCAACTCGACGGGTTAATCTTGCGAGGACTGCCAAGGGAGGTACAATTGTTGATATTTCAGAAGAGCATCGTCCATGAAATTATCTATAAAATAGAGCCAGATCGCCAACTTTTCTACGGTGTTCCAGAGAAGTGAATGAGTTAGTGAGTGAGGCATCACCCACGAGACGAATTGCCCTTTTTTGATTTATTCTAAACTTGAATATTTGATTTCTGTATAGGGATTAACAAAACTGTCAATTATGAAGCCTCTCAAAACTCTTCAAAATGAAATTATCAAATGTAATATAGACAAGATTATTTTGAACCTACTAAGAACCTTTTTCTACTCACATAGCTAAAATGGCATTTAGCGTACGGATATGTACCACGCTAAATGATCTATTATAGTCACGGATTGTCGATCTGTGATTCATTCAAAATATTGAACTCGTTACCATGGCAACACGATTTCTTAAACACATTACCATGGCAACGCAGTTTATTAAACACCAGCTTCAGTAATTTGAGACATGTCTGGCCTGCTGTCAATTGTATCAACTGTCAACTGTTATTTTCGAATTTTGTAATAGAATTATTCAAACAATTTTCGTTTGTATCAGAATTCTTCATTGAAAATATATGCGACAAGTAGACGAGAGTGAAATCGAAGAGAATGTTCTGGTACTTGCATACCTACCTATCTCCAAGAAATGTAGAAATGAAGCATCCATCTCTGAGAACAATTTATGTATTCTGCGCTAAGCATGATGACAATAAACGTGAAACAAAGGTTAGTAAGCAATGGACTGAACACATCTACAACCAATATCACTTATACGTGTCTCGCTGGTTGCAAGCAGTTGCATGTATTATGTTCTCAATTCCCATTCCTTTCGAATTATTCTGTAGGTTAGCAGGAATTACAGGTATGTCAATGTTATTTTCGGAGTTCGTAGAAAAATCATAGAATGTAAAGCGTTTATAAACTCTTCTAGACACTCGTTTATTAAACACTCGCTCCGCTCTGCTCCGCTCGTGCTCAAACTACTCGTTACTAAAAGGACGTTTATAACACTTGTTACATAATATACTATTACAGAAGGAGTGAGTTATTAGATATAGATTAACGTTATAAATTCGAATTATTATCATTCATTCATTCATTTAGTTAAATATTGTCAAAAGCATTCAAATTTGATTTTCCAAATTGATAGTATAGTCACCACAACCATACAACTAGACAAGCAGATCATTTAACTGTCAAGAAAATTAAATCAGATATTGGTAAAAAATCCATTTATCATAATGGAATGATAGAATACAATTCACTGCCAAATAACTTGAAAATGATTAAACGGATTAGAAAATGTAAAAAGGTAATCAAGAAACATCAATTCCTGTAATATTGACATTCATAGTTATCTCGTACAGCTACTATAGTTTTCAATTGGGTACCTAACAGCCGAGTCAATTGAGAATCATTTTCAGTTGAACTTGAAAAAGAATTATTTCTTCTTGGGTGTGTTATTTTACTGTTTTCTTCTTTTATTTATTTGTGAGCATTCAAAACTAACAGAGTTTTATCGATTTTTGAACGTATTTCGAAAAAACGCCATGAAAATGATTGCAAATTCCGGTATGTTCGCTATACCGCTACCAATCGTATTCTATTCTTATTGGCGGTGATCACTGAAAATCAATATTGTGATCATTGAAAAGGCCAGCTTTCGAAAATCACGAGGAAAATTTGTTAGTTTCGAATGTCGATATTTTGAGAAAGAAAGATAAATAAACAGGGTGAGTAAGAATAAGACCGACAATACGACGTAGTACTTCGTACACCGATTTCTCACTTCATTTGGAGGTGAAAAGTTCGTATAAACGTATGTCCTGAAATGCATCCTCACAGGGTGTCAGAAGTACGAAAAAAGTTGAGATTTCTCTAAATTTCTCCAGAACCCCCGTATCAAAAATTATGAAACTTGGTATACCGATCCAGATTAATCAGGATAATCACATATAGAGTTCTCATCTCTTAATTTTGTCAACCAGTAGCTGTTATAGATGCTCAAAGTGATTTCCATTTCCTCGTGAAAGTCTGAATTTCCCCAAAATGTATGAATTGTTTTTAAGAAAAGTTTCCTCCTTTCAATGAAATAATGAATTGAGACGAACTCATGAAAGGAGTTAGGAGAAAGCATTATTCTTATTCCCTACTTGCAGTCATGATTTAGAAGTAATGCTATCGAAGCTGAACGAACGTACCATTCTTCAGTTAAACTAGAAGAGTTGGAGAAAAAATGCACCTTGCTCCTCCTATTTCTCTCGCCCCTGATGAAAATTCCTGGATATTCCTAACATTTTTGAAATAGACATGGAAAGTTTGATACATGTACAGAATTTGGATATTTTATAACAAACATTTTCGATTTTTTTTTCCCAAAGGGGCATTTCATGTCGATATATAATCTTTCTTTTTAGTAGGGATGCTCAAGCGGGGATTTCGTGATTTACTCGAGCGCGGCAGATTAACATAAGGAGTTTCGGGCAGCCGATCAGATAAGTAAAAAAAAATCAATTATCAGAAATACTAGAGCGCGTCAGACTAAGACATGGTACGTTAATAACATGCAGAAAAGTGTGCATTTCAATAATCTGACGATTTGAGCGTGACATAAGGAAATGAGAGAGCCTGAAAGTTGCAAAAAAATCGTCATCTGTACATTCTCTAGCGCGGTTAATTTTTTTCTTATTTTGAAGACTTTTAGTCACGGATCACGAAAATAACACAATCTGCCGATTTGCACAAGCCGAAGTAGCGAAAATCATCAACAAGTGTGGTGCTTGCAGCCACTGGGAACTATGTATGTAATTGTGGTAACGTAGGACACTGAAAAAAAAAGTATCACTTCGTATATTGTCATCAATGCTTGTACTTTGTCATTTTTTGACAATTGTAGAGAAAAGTTTGTTGAATTCAGTGCAAAGTGCAGTAATTCTCATGTTATAACAATGAGTGAGATTTTTGAACACCTGTACACGCTCTCCCCACCAGTGAAAGGTCATATCATATCAATTAAACTTTTTTTAATTTCCGCATCTAATCTTCACAATCTAATACGTCCCCACGACGCTCGAGTAGATCCCTATTCAGCCTGTTTGCCCCCCTACTATTATTATTGTAGTTCCTAGAATCTGCAGTCGAAATCTTTCTATGTACGGGACACCCTGAATAGTTGTTTTAATTGTAATTGTTGAGGAAGATTATCTTTTTTTGTTATATTTGTCGTTTCTATACGCTTTGTATATTGTTAAAAAAGAAGAATGATGACAGTGTCAGAATTATTATTGAATTTATGATTGTAAAAAATCAAGAGATTAAAAAGATTCTACGATTGAAATAGAGGTATTTACTTTAGAGAAAGATATAGATTTTACATTGGTCCTTCGAGAAAGTCAGAAAAGCCCTAAGGAATACAGAAAATGTCTGGAAAATCAATCATTCAAGTGGAAGTACACTATGAGAAGAATAGTGAAACTGGTAAAAACAAGGAAGCAAAATCAGATATTATTATATGTGGTGAAGGAGGAAGTCCTTCTGGTGAAATTGGAAGAGAATTACCGATACCAGAGGAAATAGTTGGATTTCCAGAAGCACACATTGAAAATATAGGAGGCTCCAGGAAAGAAAGTTCATCATTGTGCACCAGTTTATCTAAAAGACAAATTTTACAACTACGCTTGGAATCTGCTAGGAAAAAAGCTGCGCTAGAAGAAAAAATGGAAGAAGAAAAATTGAAAATACAAGAACGTAGATATCTCCGAGAGAAAGAATTGATAGATATGGAGCTGAATGTGCAACTTAGTACCGCAGGTAGTAAAATATCTAGTATCTCTGAGAATATCGAGGAAGGTACTATAGACGGTATTCAGAAAGTGAAGAATTGGTTAAGAATCCCAGAAACCAATCAAATTGAACATGAACGAGACTCTTCAGAACAAAAAAGTACCAAATCTGACGAAAATAAGTTGAAATTCGACCACACTGAATATATGATACCCGATAATTCGGATAAAGATCGTGAAAAATTTGCAGAAAAGGGTGTCAATAGACAGCTAGAAACCTTTTTTACTCGACAGTCGATCAGAGAACTACCTTTGTTCAATGGGGATCCGGAGGAATGGCCTCTATTTATATCACATAGGATTGGTGAAATACGAGATCTAACGACGAAAGATAGTTGGCATTGGATTACGACCAAGGAGAATATTGCTGATGAAGCTACTAGGTTGAACAAGGAACCGAAGATTTCGCAAAGATGGTTTGACGGTCCGTATTTTCTACAGAAGGAAGAAGTTCACTGGCCCGATGAAGATGGTATAGATATGGATATTCCCAAAGAAGAGTTAGAAATCAAGAAATCACTGCTGGTTTTGCATCATTATCAGACACCAGAGTTTCTACCCCAAATAGAAAGATTCTCATCTTACGAGAAATTAGTTCGAACCACTGCTTGGGTGAGAAGATTCATTGAAAATTGTACGAAGGACGTGAAGAATAAAAACTGTTTATCTGTGACAGAAATAAAAAGATCAGAAAAACTTTGGTACCAAGAAGTTCAGAATAAATTCTATGCAGCAGAAATCGTAAGTCTGAAAAAGGGACAAGAAATCCGAACAGAAAATATTATCTATAAGTCATCACCATTTATGAAAGACGATATTTTGTGTATGAAGGGAAGGATACCTGGAGAAGCTTATAATGAAGATTTGGCAATGAACCTCATCATCTTAGATGCCAGACACGCTTTCACGAAACTACTCATCGAGGACTACCACCGGAAATCGAGGCATAATGGATATGAATATGTTATGAACGAGATTAGACAAAAGTTTTGGATACCTAGACTGAGAAATTGTGTCAAGAAAATATGGAGAAATTGTCAGTTTTGTAAAAATAGGAGAGCACAGCCAGTTTCTCCAGAAATGGGAATGATTCCCGAAGCAAGGTTGGCCGCATTTGTAAAACCTTTCACGAAAACTGGCTTGGACTACTTTGGCCCATTGTATGTGACAGTTGGTAGAAGGCACGAGAAAAGATACGGTGCTATCTTCACCTGTATGACTACTAGAGCTGTACACATAGAAATTACATGGTCATTGGATACAGCTTCTGTAATAATGGCCATCAAGAGACTAATTGGGAGAAGAGGATCAGTGACGGATATCTACGCGGATAATGGTACCAACTTTCATGGAGCTGATAAGGAGCTTTCCACACTTGTGCAAAATATTGACAAAGATGCCATCGAAAATGAAATGTCTTCAGGAAGAATGAAAGGTTCTTTTCCAGACACAATAAAAGATCCCAATTACGACATGAGAAAACAATGGAAAGCAGTACAAGTTATATCAGAGCCATTTTGGAAGAGATGGGTGAAAGAATATAAGCCTGAGTTGAATAAGCGGACAAAATGGATCAAGAAAGTCGAGAATCTGAAAAAAGACGATGTTGTGATTATTGTAGATAATTCCCTACCTCGAAATACATGGCCTCTTGGGAAAATAATTAATACCTATCCTGGACGCGATGGCATCGTAAGAGTTGTAGAAGTGAAAACCCAGTACGGAACCTATCGACGACCTGTCGTGAAACTCTGCAAATTGGATGTTAACGGACAAAGGAATTTGTGAAGAAGTCTTCACCAGGGGGTAGAATGTTGAGGAAGATTATCTTTTTTTGTTATATTTGTCGTTTCTATACGCTTTGTATATTGTTAAAAAGAAGAATGATGACAGTGTCAGAATTATTATTGAATTTATGATTGTAAAAAATCAAGAGATTAAAAAGATTCTACGATTGAAATAGAGGTATTTACTTTAGAGAAAGATATAGATTTTACAGTAATACCATCATAAACACTAGCAATTCACCTTCTATTCTAGTTTGTCTGTTTGATTTGCCATTATCAGCTCCCCTCTCGTTACCAGCCAAATCGATAAGCGAGAACTTTCCTTCAACTTGCTTCGACCCGCCTTTCCTCAAAATGATTTGGAAAACTGCATGTGATCTAGATGAGTTCGAATTTGCTGACGTTTGACCGGATGTTCTTTCCAAACTTCCTTTCTGAATAAGGTCTAGAACATGTTCTACCTGAAAAAATATCCTGTAGAGAAATTAATCCACATTTACCACTTACTATTTTCAAAATAATCGAAAATAGATTTTGATATTGTTATGAATAGAAAAATCATTATTAATGCTCCAATGTGTTTTTGTCGTTGAAGTAAGTAATTTTAATTCCGGTTAAACGGCACAATTGCACATGTCACAATATATTATCGTGTGGCGAATAATTCAGGATCACTGATAATTTTGAATTGACTCGGCCGTTACTTGATGGAAATCCATGAGAAATGTAAAAACTTCACAAACGATAAGATTTCCACAAAATTTTTAAACACACGACATGTTTCGCTAACACACTAGCTTCGTCAGGTGATATACTGGTACAATGAACTAATCTAACGTTGGCTTGCTTAACTTTTATATTTATCTTACTTTCCCAACCTGAAGGATTAGTTACCTGTGGACAGGTACGATAAACCTCCATTTTCGGAAATTAGGCGTTCGTGAAGTTTTTACACTGATAATTTATACAGGGTGGTCTATATTTAATTCCCGAAACTTCAGAAGATGATTGAATGAAATAAGGCACTGATGACTATTGATAGAATCTCTTATTTTTATGCTTCCTAATATCGAGACATTTTTGAACTGAGTGAAATTTTAGTACAATTAACCATCGGATTTGTTCTTACTACAAGAATGCAGGGTATTTAACGACGTGATGAGTCCATATATGCAAAACTATTGCGACTGTAGTAATATGCAATTTTTTATATGAGTGGGATTTCTTAAGTGCGCTCATTTCAACAAAAATATTTTCTGGAACTCTCGGTCATACCGAAAATTGACCTCAACTTTGTTATTTTGAACTGAATATACAGGGTGATATTGAAATAAATACAAATAGTTCAAGAAAATGCTTGATGTATACTATCGAATGGAACCAATGAGGAAAAACGGATCAACATAAAAATTGGATTGAGACCATTTTTTCCACCCAAAGTTCTATACACTGTAGCAATCATGAAGTCTTCAAATTCCCGTGCGGAAGTCTCAAATCACGCGGAATTCAATTTAAATGGTTCTAAAGTGGCGTACCTAATTTTTCATCCGTTTTATCTTCAATTTTCTGGATTGACTTTCTCGTTAATCAGAAGATTTGGGAATATCTGTATGACTGTATATTATATTGATGTCCTAAATATGCATACTCATTTCAAAAACACCTCATATCTACCATATTTTATCGAATATTTGGAATCTACGCTGAATTTCAATGCAACCTGCATTCAGAACACAATATGTCTAAATTACGCTATTATTAAGTTATTCAAACTTTTTCGAAATTTTTGATAAATGCAAAACCTCACAGAAAATATTTTTCGAAATCCAAGTTAATCAAATCTGATATTGATTATTTACCTTTGTGACTATCCTTTCGGTGAGACCAACAACTTGTACTTGCTGTTTTCCATCTTCCAAAACACGCAACCTTTGCTTTTTGGCTAACAAGTCGAAAACTAGTTTGCCGTATATTTCGAAAAAACTAGCCGATACTGTGAAATTCATTCTGGCGTATTTGGAATTATTTAAGAGTTTAAAAACATCTTGAGCTACTAAACCATATATTCCACTCTTGAAATTTTGCTGCTTTCCTAAAAATGTTGAATAAATCAGTATAGACAATCTAAAAAAAAAGAGTATTGATGAGAATATTTTCGACTCTGAGAGTTCGATTTCCTTCCTTGAAATATAATATGAACTTTAATATCTATTGCAACCCACTATTTTCAAGAAATTTCCTATAAAATTGATTCACATTGATCCCTATTTTCATATACAGGGTGTCCCAGAACCACGTTCGTATACTCCGGGAAGTGATTCTGCCGACAATTCGACTCATTTATAAAAAATCCCATTAGCCGCTGTGATTTTATCATTCTGACAGCGAACAAACTTTGCCCTAAGTTCTCCAACGACAAAACCAAACCTAGCTTTTGAAACTATGTCAACCAGAATAGGCGAGTGGACAATTTTTCCTCACTTCCTAAATAGAATCATCACTCAAATACTTTTCAATTCCATATTTTTCAAGAATTTTTTGGACGATTCTTAGGTGCTAAAATCATCAATGATGCCAAGGAAATTTTCAAACGGCTAGAAATTTACCGCCAGGAGCAGACCATAGCACAGTTGCCATGTGTTGAAATACGATTGGGGGCTTGAGAAATATTAGTTATTTCATAATCCATAAAGTCAAAATCAAGTATTGGTAATAATAAGCAATGAAAATTCAATTGTCTCAAAATGTTCCCTTATGCTTTATGGTTTACTGGATATCATAAGTTTGTGTGAATAATAATTATATATATTTTCACTAGAGGACATTTGAATCGGTAAACGTGACAACAGCGCGTGAATTGTGGGCGTGGTCTTGTCAGTTATCAGCATTCAGCAAAATGTTGCCAAGTCTCCAACATTTACATGATATTTTGTTATCGAGAATAAGAAATATTTCGACATGTTGGTTGCTCGAAGAAGTCAAGAATGAACTATTATATCATGGGTTCCTCCTATTATGTGTTATGCAACGACAGGACTTCAACATCTCTTTGATAACTTCATTATAGTTGGTGACTTGACAACCTTGCTTCATAAATGGAAATGGAAGATTATCTGACGTCACCATTTATTCGACGTGTCGCCATATGGCGGCCATGACGGTTCGTTCGAAATGAGCTCTGAAATCCAACAATTTCGAACGACGCATAGACACATTATTCACGTGAAAAAAGCATTAGAAGTGTTACAAATATTAATTTAGGTTCCTAATGACAAGGTGGAGTAATTAAATGACAAAAATTCATTATCAATCCACTCGCCCATTGTGAACAAATCTTAAATGGCGTCAGTGTCAATGTTTCCCAATCTTGCGTCGTCAGAATAGTTTATAATCTTTGTAAATATCGCGATTTGGAGTGGAGACATTGGAAAATCCACCAACAATAATGTGATTTACGTATTCCTCAGATTGTCTTACCGAATTACACTCAGAAGCATTTTTTCAGGTGGAAGTGAACTTGAAATTTATATTTTTGGATGTATGACAAATTATTGATATTCATCATACAGTACGTGGAAAGAAATTCTGAATTGAGAAAACCTAATCACGAATCTAATATTATGAGGAAATGAAAATTGTCTATATCATGGAAAATAGCTGAAAGAATAACTGGACATGTTGAGGAAGGTTACTTATCTGAAATGAGTTCATTCGAATAAAGTCGTTCAAAGAATATTTGGAATTCATCGTCCCCTATTCATCCTTCGAATTGTTAGCTATACGAAAGGAAATTGTGATAGTGCTCAGAATACAGGGTGACATAGAGAAAAGTACATTGCATAGTGTCACACAATAGAGGATAGTAAAATAAGAAAAAAAAAATCCTATGAACATGGGTCCGAAAGGCCTTCGGTTAAAATATACGGGGTGTTGAATTGAATTTTTTTTGGGTTTTCTTTGAATATCTTTATCCAGAGACGCAAGCAATGGATAAAATGTGGTATACAGTGGTTTTTCATCATGCTGAATTTAAATATGATCTTAGTTGTGTGATGACTGATAGAGGGCGCTACATACAGAGTTCCATCCCTATTGAATCGGTCGTAACTTTTTTGCTATACACTGTATGTCATTTTCGACGGAAACAATTTGTTATCCCTTCTTTTATACTTAAGAAAGGTATACTTTGTCCAAGTCACTAGAAGCAATGGTTCCAGTACAAATGCATCTAAAAGCCGACAATGCACGCAAATTATTCGAAAAGCGCCAAAGTAACTTTTCCAAAAACAATGATAAATACTTCAACAATTACATTTTAATGGTATGATGAAAAATATGATTAATTAGAACAAAATATTAAGTTTTTAGAAGATGTTCAAATTGTTGCCCTTGTACTTCAAAACATTTTTCCATTGATATTCAACACCCCGTATCTTTTAACCGATAAGGCCTTGCGGACCTTTTTTCTTTATTTTAGTGTCCTCTATTGTGTGGCACTATGCAATGTACTTTTTTCTATGTCACCCTGTATATATATATGGAATTGTAACTTGATATAACTGCATCATGGATTATTTTTGGAGGCACTTAAATTCAGATTGAGAACAACCCCTGAATATCAATGATCCACTTCTCACTGTTCGCTAATTCGCAAACAACACACTTTACCATTAATCTTTTAAACAACTAATGATACAGCTACCACCACAACCTGGTACAAAAACTCAAGAAAATTGATATAATAGTAGGAGAGCCGGCTGCAAATTTCGACCGTCATCTGACAACCAAATGTTATATGTTCGACCTGTGCCACCTGTGCCAATCACTATCCTGAGCAGAATTATTGGAAATGGCACTTTCCTGTGCGGTAATTTGCACTCAATTTCGCGATTTGATAACAAGAAAAGGAATAATGCCCCGTTAGCGAATATCCAAACGTGCTGTGATTCGAACTGAGCTAAGTTAGTGGCAGAGCGTCAGTATTTCCGAGATTATTTCGTCCCTGTCAAGAGATAATATCCAATGGACCAGTGTGAAATTCATGTGGTGCTCGCACTACAAGCATTCGAATCCACATGTTGAGTTTTACACTGGTCCATCGGATATTATCATCCGAGTGGGGCAAAATATTCTCGGAATTAATGACGCTCTACCACTAACTTAGCTCAGTTTGAATAGCGGCAAGTTTTGATATTCGCAAAGTTAATATTATTCCTATTCATTCCCCCCGTGTTCTAACTCGTTATCATATGACGAAAGTATGTCCGGAAACTGGGCAAGTGGAGGAACAATAACAGGACATGCGAAAATAGCAGAGTGGGCGGACCAAGAGATTCCTATCTCCACTCTCAGAGTGAATGCAGCACAGGACAAGCTGTGATGGAATAGGAAGTTCAAACTTACCATTCCAAGCAGAGAGGAATGCAAAAACAATACAGTAGAGTTTCGCCCAGGAAGCTTAGTATGCTACACAGACGGATCCCGTCTGACTGACAGACAGGCCTCGGGTGCAGGAATCTATCTCGAAGGGGGAAACATACGAGAAAGCTACGCGCTAGGAAAATACACTACAGTTTTCCAAGCTGAGTTGTTCGCCATCCTGGTCGTAGCAGAGAGACAAGAGGTGGAAGGGGGACCAGAGCAGAAGATCTACATCTGTTCGGACAGTCAGGCAGCACTCAAGGCAATCTGTCATCCCAGACCGAGCTCAGCATTGGTACAGGAATGTGGAAACGCCCTTGAGATATTAGCAGAAACAAAGGAAGTTGAACTGGAATTGGTCCCGGGTCACAGTGGGGTGCCTGAAAACGAAACAGCAGACAAACTTGCTAGGGCCGGATCCGCGGATCTGTTTCTGGGGCCGGAGCCTGTACTAGGTATATCGAGGAGCCAAATCAGCCATCGATGAATGGGCGGACAAGGCACTAGGAGAATAGGATACTGGTACTGGTGGGGGACGTTTCCACGTCAGCAACTAGTCCCCAATGGGACCTTTTTGCAAACCCCAAGTGTTTTCAATGAATGATGTGGTTCGCTCAAGAGAGCTGGCTAACATCCTTTTTCAGGCACCGCCCATCAGCTCTCTTTTCAGAGTTTTTCAGCTATGTTTTGTAGGCTAGTAATGTACTCACTACCATATGCGCAGTGGCAGGCCTGCTAACTATCATCGTTAACCCCCGAGACCGAGGTCTACTTAAGCAGCTGGCCCGCTCTCACGCTCAGCTGGTAGTTTTTCCACACCCACCTACATACACCGTCCTACTTCTTCTCTGATGCTCACAACCACATCATCATATCTTTCTGCGTGTTCTGTAGGTGCGTTCGGTTTAACAAAATCGGAGCCGAGCGAGCAGATGCAGATTTGGTGTCACGTGATCACCTAGCAGATAGAGCTAATGGTATTTAACGAACGCTCAACGAGGTAGTAAATAGTAGATTGCGAGCGCCAGCTGTCAGAAGTAACAGAAAACAGAAACAATTCACTTAACCTTATTACTTTTAAAAACACGTCAGGGCAACAAAGTTCTTTTGAATGTTTGTTGTTTATATTTTGAAAATTACTAGGGAAGGAATGATTCTGTCTCATATGATCGGTCATTAACTGTGGATCCAGGGCAGTTGTGATCGCATATATTACAGATATATAATTAATATGCTACCTACAGCAAATTCGTCGGTCATTCTGGCGATTCTGGGCAAGGAGGATTCTACAAAATTCAGTTTCGTGTTTCGTTTCCAGTGGATCGAGTCTTCAATTTTTCGACATAAAAGAGATATAATTTCAATAACATGTTGTTGACATTGATTTGTTGACAATTGACAACCGAATAACCGATCAAATCTGAATGATCTGCTCCTCAAGGCGGAGCAAACAGATTACATCTTTCAGCTCGCTCTGACAATTAACGAACACGGAGCAGATTAGACAGAGGAAGTAGATCTGATTTATCGAACGCTTTCCGAGCTAACGGATGGAATCGAGCTAACAGATATGTTATAACCGAACGCACCTTGTGTAGGCTTTGTTACTAACTCCATACGCCACTTTAGGAGCAGCACTGTTAATTGGAACGCAACAGCGAATCGTGCAGGACTATCCCCAGCCGATGCTCCGAAACTTTACAATATTTAATTCGTAAATAAAATATTGAAAAAAGTTCCTTGCCCGTGCTGGAAATCGAACCCACGACCTTGCGGTCGTGAGACGGACGCTCTTCCACTGCGCCAATCCCGGCTAGGAGAATAGGATAAATATCACAGGTTGCAGGCAGGCCAAGGAATTCATGGCCGGTCCAAGCAAATCAAGGAAGGAGTGGCTGCTTGGCAGAGACCGCCAAGTACTCACAGAACACAACAGACTAGGCAGACACCTATCACTTATGGGAATAGAGAACAACCCCACTTGCCGCATATGCGGGGAAGACGAGGAAACGTCACTCCATTTCCTTGGCGAGTGCGAGGCGTACGGAAGGCTGAGATTTGAAATCTTTGGAGTAGTCAAACTTCAACAGAAGGACTTGATTATATTAGAGTGGACGAACACACTTGCTTTCATCAGAAGGTCAGGGAGATTCGTGAAGGAAATCTAGGTGGAGGAAGCCTAGATATGTGGAGAGCAGGGGTTAGCAAAAAGGGCCCATCGGGGACTACTTGCTTGGCTACAGCCTCCCCACTTACTACTTCATGTCCGGAATAACAGAAGCAAATATATCGCTGTGACGTGGATTGGGCTCAGATTAAGGGATGGCACAGGTAGGTTTTTGAGATCTACTATTCAATTGGTATCGGATGGCATAATTCTCATTTCGTTATCAAATCGCTCAGGATGATGATTGGCACAAGTGCCGTTCGATGAAGTACAAAGTTTATACATACCCTTGGGATATATATCATTTCGTTATCAGATAACGGTCGAAATTTGCAGCTGGCTCTTAGACTACAATACTCGTGCGACTTCGCCATTTTCTATTTTGGTTCTCCTCCACCATTTTCTCAAGAAGTTCCACAATAGATAATAGAAAAAGAAAAACCGACTATTTCCGAAGGCATGTACTTTTAGTCCGCTGACACTAACCTTTCGTCCGCAAACACCTTCCTTCCGCTGCAGTGTTGCCGGTTCTACAAAATTTTCAATAAATCTCCTGATTTGCATATTGATCTACTGATCTACTGAAACATTTAATATTCTACTGAAAAATATTTTGACATTTTTATTATTATAATTACCTATATTGTTCAACCAGTTGAAAGCCAAATACTTAATGTGGAATGCAATGACCACAAAGAGAGAGAAACTCAAAGTCCTGACCACAATAGTTCAACTACTTTCCTTCAGAAATTAATTATTGTTAATCATTAATTGATCATATACATTTATTAATTGCATGATATTTCGGCACGCTTTATTTGAATTGATTTTACAAAATAAGTAATGAATGTTCACATAGGTAGTGATGCTATTTATGAACCAAAACAGGACAATACTTCTTCTGATTCTGACCAAATAAAATTTTTTATTTAACTCTGTTGGAACAAGTTGTTTCTCATGTTTAATTTCTTCATTCGTTTTGTATTTCTATTGTTCATTTTTACTATTCGATCCAGTTTTTTATATATTCAATTCTCATACCTAAGTACCTATATATTTTGTGATATTTGTGTGTATTTTTGAATTGAGAATTAGGAATACTATTATTTTTGTATGAGAATGTTTGTTCTGTTTGTTTCTAATTTGGTGGAAATAGGTTATTTTATGTTTACTAAAAGTACGTAATGTTTTGACGTCATAGGTTCATTTTATTATCCTCTCTTGTAATTCGTATAGCATAAAATAGATCATAAACAGTTCTATTGAAATCTACTGAATTTTTGACAAGGTATTTACTGATAGAATAAAAATCGAACTGGCAACCCTGGTCCCTGCGAAGCATAACTTGACAACAACTGTCATTTGTTGTTGTCAGATTAATTATTTACAGAATCCGATAGATTTCACGTGTCAAAAGGACCGTGATGTGAATATCAGTGTTTGAGGTCGACGAAAAAATTTAATATGCACCTTGGCAAAAACTGTATATTGTCTCGTCTGATTGTTAGCCTCGGTTAAGGCCTCGTCTATCAATTTGCAGACTTGACTATAATAGACAGTGGTTCGTCCTTGGTATATAAATAACTATTATTGAGAGTTATGAAGGTTTTTGAATGATGTAATGAACTAATTGAATGGAATCACGTAGTTATGCAGAGTGATGGGCTCAGATCAGGTGATCTAGCAAACCATTTCACTGGTCATCTTCTTCCTATCTACCTTTGTGGGAAAGTTGTGTTTAAAAAATCGCGCATAGTTACTGCAAAATGTGGCGGTGCGACATCTTGTTGCACTGAAAAAAAAATAGTCGGTAGATAATACCAAAAGTTTAGTAAGAGGCGCCAGTCAAATATCACCACTGAAAAATGATATACAATTTTGTTGTGGTATTATTTGATGAATATAGTGACAAGCACCTATTTTACTAAACGTTTGGTACTCACTACCGACTATTTCTCAGAGTGTGGAACTAGTTTCTGCAGGTCTGAATGAGTGGGTATTTGAATATCAGAAGAAGCTGGATCAGATCATTTTTGAAAGGGCAATCCGGGAATTAAGAAATAAGGCGGGTCAAAAAAAAAGGTGATGACGTCATTACACGAAGGTGGTTCACTCTGTATAATGTATTATATGAGTGGGAAAAATTGTGAATCACAATCAAAAATCGACATGTTTCAAACAATGTTCAAATTAATTTTGTATTCTGCCGCAATAATGAATTAATGCTTTATTTTATGGACGCACTGTTATATAAACGCCTATACAGGGTGTCATGTAAAGACCACGTCGAATCTAGGAAGAATGTAGATCAAAGGATAACCCACCTGCTATGACAAAATTCCCATCATGAAAGTCTTACCGTTTTCGAGATATTTTTTGTTGTTGAAAATATTGAATTTTTTCCCCCTTCCAATAGTTTTGTCTGTACGGTTTTGGTACAATTTTACACCTTTTCGGTTCATTTTTCCAGTAAATATTTCTGAAGAATGATTTCAACGTGTACATTAAAAACATTTTCCGAACATTTTGAAGGGGACTGTGAGAAATATTTTTATTGGAAAATTTGGTGGACATTTGAAAAAAAATCTCGAAAACGGTAAGACTTTTATAATGGGAATTTTGTCATATGCAGGTGGGTTATCCTTTGATTTACATTCTCCTAGGTTTGAAGTGGTCTTTACCGTATACCCTGTCCATTATATTAAACTGTTTCAGTTGTTTCCTCTTCCCTCCTGTGGAAAATAATTTTATGTTTTCCAGAAATCCATATACGAATCTGTGAAGGACTATAGTTTATTCTTACCTTTAAATTCTCCTCCCATAGTGTGTGTTTTTCCGGAACCAGTTTGTCCATATGCGAAACATGTTGCCATTCCTCCCTCGAAAATGGTTTTCACTAGAGGTTTCGCAGTGAATTTGTACACCAAATCATTATTGCAGGTATCATCGAACACATAATCGAATCTAAAGTGTTGATTTTCAACGTATTTTGTCAGATCAACTTTTTGCTTTGGTTCATGAACTACCTGAAATATAAAGTATACAGTTTCAAGAATCCTAAGATCTAGAAGCTTTAGAGTCAGAATATTGAGGGGATTCCCGTATAACACTATGCCAGTTAAATCTATGCCAGTTAGAAGAGATTCATCAACAGTATACTCAAATAATTAAAGCAAAGGTTTCATAGAAGAAAAGAGCTTCGGAGCCAAACTGCATGGTACTTCGCACAATACAAGGAATTATTGATGCTATCTCGAAAAGAACAAGGGGATTAGTGTGTATGCAGTACCATACTTGCGATGCTACATACAATGCACCAATTCGCATGCTAACTCAAGAACTAGTGAGTACACAAGTACTCTTTCTTGAGTACTTTGCAAGTTAGGCTGTATACCCATTATCCACCTCATCCTTTTCGATATAATGTTACTACCACATCAGCGATTAATTCATTATAATTGGTATTAAATCAGTTGTCTATGGTGTATCTACCATCACATCATGTCAAGGATTCTTTTACATCTTGAAGAAATTGAAACGTATTTTTGACGTCTCATTTGGCATTATTTTTAAGTCGTCGTATATACTAACTGGTGATGAGTACTAATCACGTGATAATCATGTCATGTCATGTCGTTACAAAATATTTCCAGGCTGGTGGCTGACGTAAAAAAAGGTGAGTAAAATGACGTCATTGGATTATTACTTGATAATATTATCATCATCATCATCTGATTGGGGTACTAAGTTCAGTTTCACTAATTCCGTTGATTGATCGCTTACGCGTAATATATCAATCAACGCTAATTCTCAGTTCTGCTGAAATCAGTATAGATATAGAGCTAAAATATCATAGTGGAATGATTGGAATATCCTAAAATTATCGTTTCTAATTGTTTACTGAAGTGGAAAAGAGAAGTGTTCTCTTAAAGTACGATTCGTCAGTTATTCATCAATAACAAGAAAATTACTATACAACTAGCGGAAAAAGATGCATTCCCTAAACTTATCTGCATAAATTTCTTCACTGAAAAGTCCCATCAATTTCACGGCTAGAATGGAGAGAAACGGAAAATATAGGAGAAATATATGTTTATTGATGACTATCAAGTTGAAGCCATGTGGCGGTCGAATTAAAATAACCTCACGCTTAGTCCTATTATACCTGTCGTAGAAGTCGACTTAATGGACGCCAGGAAAGAGGATGCTAAGGTTGTAATTGTTGAGTTATTGATGGAAAACTGCCTAGCTTAACTACCACCCATTGTCTGCTAAATATGGAGAAAAAATCTAGTGAGCTGTAGTATCTGGTCTGCTCAAACAAAGGAAATCACCTACAGGTTTCTGTGGCCGATACAGTAGTGCCGCCATACGGTCAACTCGTGAAAACACTTATTTCAATTGTTTTCTTGTCAAACCTACATAACCTTGAAAGTCGTAAACGTGTTTAGCAGCTCCCTCAGCGGTGCTCTCGGCCGTATCGGCACTCTCGGCCTGCCGCATAGTTTGTTATTCAGTGAGTTTGAGTTCAAGATCACAAAATATAGTCACGGGTCATGGTCACTCAGTCACTCAAAAATTCAAAAAATCATTCCTTCTCAAAATGGTTGCTACATACACTACAATACATACACATAAATTAAATGGGTGGTAGAATGAGTAGTATGGATTGATCAGGGCTCTGATTATCTCACTTGTGATGAGCCTGGAACACTCAATATCGAATTTATTCACTTATGTCGCAGAAGAATACCATTTGGAAATCTATGAATGGAGACGGTTTCACACTTTTTGGTAGGCACAATTGAGAGACAGAGTTTGTAAGATATTATCAATCAGAATAAACTATAATACTGGGAGCATAATATAAAACTATATCTATAAATGAAAGGCATATTAGAACAATGAGAATTGGAAAAGAAAGATTATTTTTCAAGAAAAAACAATACAAGTCACGATGGCACGACAGCTCTTGACACTGACAACTTACATAACCACAAATTCCGAAAATTTTCTAGAAAAAAGTGAAGAACATTTCGTCCGATAAAGTAACATCGTCTGGTGGTCATACACTCAACTGAGCTATAGAGCAGACCAGTAGATTTTGTCTCCATATTAAGCAGACAATGCTACCACTCATCAGTACTTTCATCATATTGTGAAGTACACCTTTACCTACAAATGTGGCAAAATTCACTTCTTCATGAATTATTTCCGCTAGTTTCTCTTCGTTGCTCGAACTAATCAAGTTATTTCAGCATGGAGGGTCAGGGTAAAGATCACCGAACTCATGTCTCGACAAAAGCTTGTAAAAAGTGTTTGAGAATTGCCAAAAGTGGCCTAACTTTTATACAGTGTGGTACAATGTCCCATAATAGTTGTGTTAATTCAATGAAAAATGTGACAGTGGTTAGTGAAAGTGAAAAAACAATCATTTGTTGTGAATCAATTAATGTTGATCTTGACATGACCTTCAGCAGCGCTATAGATGAAATCATGGACGAAAGTGCTGGTAAGAAGGAAATATCATACTTGAACAGAAGGAAATATCATACTTGAACATCATTTTGGAACAAAAGGACATGATAATTAGTCAACAACAAGACAATATTGAGTCCTTAAAGGCCCAAATCGATTTGTTGAATAGATTATTGAATAATAATAAGGTCGACAATAGGCCGACATCTAGCGATGGAGGTACGAACATCAAATCAATTCAGAGAAACGTTACCAGTACAATCAACAAACAGAAAATTTCCGATAAGCCTCTTGAACCAGTGCAGGCTTCTTTAATGAAGACTGCTGATAATACTCCCGCCAACAGTACTGTGAATAAACAGAAAACTACTGAACGCTCTCTTAAACCAGCTCAGGCTTCTGCAAAGAAGGTTGCTGCTACTACTCCCGTTGCTTCAGATGGTTTGGAAGAATCTATGCTGAAACCAATAACAACAGCGCAAGTATCATACGCCGTTAAGTGTGCGACAGAGACACTATCTATATCCAGTAAAACTAACAGGTCAAGTGCCTCCCAACTCCACTCAAATCAACAAGTTCCGGAAGATATAAACTCAAATCTTGAAGATAACCAACCATTCATCCAAGTGAATCATAAAAGGAGGAAGACAATAAACAAACCTATAGTAGGTGCCATAGAAACCAAAAATAATATCAGTCTGAAAATTTTGCCTAAGCTGGCTTTTTTGCATGTTTATAAAATCAATCCTCAAATGACTGTAGAGGAGCTCAGATTGCTACTAATTGATTCCTTTCCGGAAGTTGTAGTGGATAAAATCAATTCGATGTATCCCGAATATTATTCTTCATTCAAAGTTACTCTTGATCACACAAATCTAACTAAAGCGATGAACCCGGACATTTGGCCGAAAGGTGCTTATGTAAATCGTTTTTTTCATCGAAGGAAAAACCCTCAACAGAACCCATAACATACCCTCGATCATACCTTATAGATGCCCAAACAGTCACTGGCAAGTTTGATAACAGTATAGCTATTTTTCACATAAATATACAATGCCTTTCGAATAAGGTAGACCAAATAAATTCATTCCTAGAAAACAATAATTACGATATCCTCTGTTTATCTGAACACTGGCTGAATGTACATGCTCTTAAGTCAATCAATATTCAAGGTTACTCTCTAGCTTCTCATTTTTGCAGGGAGACGAGGGAACATGGTGGAGTATGTATTTTTATGAAATCCGCTCTGGAATTTAAAGAAATCGAATGCAGTGATTCGAATAGTATCATTGACTCTGAATTCTGTTGTATTGAAATTTCATCACTCAAGACCATTCTAATTGCTTGCTATAGGTCTGGTCAAGGTAACTTTGATCTATTCATGCACAATTTCGAAAATCTTCTGGTTAAATGTACAAATTTATGCCATAAGATAATTATCTGTGGAGATTTTAATGTTAATTTCAAATCATCTTCTATGGAACGCGAAGAACTCATATGTATGATAAATTCATTTAATTTGGACATAACAATTCATGAAGATACAAGAGTATCAGCAGTATCTGCTACATGTATTGACAACATTATGACGAACTTCGATGACGATTCTTTTGAAACGGGAGTATTTGAGCCATGCCTATCTGATCACTATGGACAATTCATTATTTTAAATAAAAACTGTATTTCGACTCAAATAGTGTGGAGGAAACAGGTAAATGAAAAAAATATTAAAAAGCTGAATTCCTTATTGGCAGATGTTTCCTGGGAAACGATGTCTATATGTAACTGTGATGTTAACGAGTATGCTAATAAATTTCTTAATACCTTGATACACAGCGCAGAAAAATGTTTTCCGAAAAGAAAGGTGAGTGATCATAATATAAAAGCCCCAGTCAGGTGGTTCAATGCTTCTTTACGAGAAATTAGAGATAACCTGTCCTGCATAAAAATTATTTGTGACAGTACAAGAAGTACGGAAGATTATGATTCCTACAGAACGTATCGTAAATACTATAGAAATCAGCTAAAAGTCGCCAAAAAAACGGCATATAATGAGTATATCCAGGAGTCAGATAACAAGTCAAAAAGTAGTTGGCAAATTATAAATCATGAACTAAATAGGAAACCAAGAAAACAAGCAGTACCTGATGTACCGATTGAATGTTTCAGCAAGTTTTTTGCTGATATTGCTGAAAATGTAATTTCTTCACTACCTCTTGTGGCAGAAACTTCCTCTGACTTACTTGATTCTAGTCCACCGTCAAGTAATTCTTTTTTTCTAGTACCTATACCTCCTTCGGAAATAATAGAAGCAGTAAAGTCACTAAAGAATTCGAAATGTTTGGATTGCTATGATTTATCTAGTGAAATTATAAAAGGGATTATCTACACAATAATTGACCCACTCACCCTCCTTTTCAACTCATGTATATCGTCGGGTTGTTTCCCAGACTGCTTCAAATACGCGAAAGTTCTGCCGCTATGGAAAAAGGGAAATACATCGATTGTTGACAATTACCGTCCTATCTCAATTATCCCAGTTCTGGGTAAGATTTTAGAAATAATTCTCAAGAATAGGTTAGTCCGTTATTTTGCATCAAATAATCTTTTCAGTCAGCAACAGTATGGTTTCAGACCTGGAAAATCAACAATTGATGCCATTTTGAAGATTGTAGAGTACATAGTGGAGAGCCTTGAGAACGGAGAGCACGTGACTCTTACACTGTGTGACCTTTCTAAAGCATTCGATTGTGTATCTCATGCTATCCTTTATGAAAAGCTTGAATACTATGGAGTGAGGGGGTTACCTCTGGAATTGTTTAAATCTTACTTGATGGACAGAACTCAATCAGTGTATGTGAACGATACATTTTCTAGCATCAGAAAGGTCAAACATGGTGTCCCCCAAGGATCTGTATTGGGGCCAATATTGTTTTTGATATATGTGAATGATTTTGGTAAATATATGTCACCTGGTAAATGTGTTCTTTTCGCAGACGATACTTCCTTAGTGTCAACTAGTAGAGATATCGAGAATCTCTTGAACAATAAAGACGAAGCACTCAAACAGGCTTCGCGATGGTTTACAGCTAATCAATTGAAATTAAATGAAGAGAAGACAAAAGAAATTACTTTCTCTAGAAATAACACCACCGCCGATTATCAGAATGGAAAATTGCTTGGTATAATTCTGGATGGAAACCTATCCTGGTCAGACCATATTGAAGAGTTGAATAGTAAACTTTCTAGGTGCATTTTTGCTTTCAGACAACTCAAAAGAATCTTGAACATCGATGCCCTGAAAAGTGCATACTTCGCCATGTTCCACTCAAACATAAACTATGGCATAATCCTATGGGGTAACTCCTCTCATGCTATTAAAATTTTCAAGCAACAGAAAAAGGTAATCAGAATTATGATGAACGCAGAGTTTAGAGACCACTGTAAACCACTTTTCATAAAAATAGGTATATTACCCTTACCATCTCTTTTTATATTGAATACTGTACTTGAAATACACAAGAATAGATCGCTGTTCTCTAGGCATCTGGATGTCCATAATTATCACACGAGAAATGCAGAGCATCTCATTCAGCCAAGATACAGATTGACAAAGTCACAGAAAAACTCACTGAATTTGAAGCTCTACAATCATATACCAGATCAAATCAGAGTACTGAACTATGAATAGTTCAAGTCAAAAATGAAGTATTTCATGCTGTCTAAGTGTTTTTATAGTGATGAGGAATATCTGAACACAGATTTCTCATGATTCAAAGAGACACTTTTTTATCTTGCCAGAGTGCTGTTATTTTTCATAGATACATATATGTTTTTAATTTATTTATATTCATGTTGTGTTTAGGCTCATACAATTCTATGTTTTTTTTTGTGTATGTTGGTCTGAATACCATCGATGTTATACGTTTTTAATTTTTATCGGATTTCAATCATATTTTTAAATGTTTGTATTGATTCCTTTCAAAAACTTGACTTGCAGCAAACATGTTAATTGTAAAGTTGTCAAATAAATCTATCTATCTATCTATCTATCTATTTCGAAAGAGCGACTTACAAGTTGGTTCCTGGTGGGCACCGACATCACGTCCACCTCCCTCCTCCGATTCTCCCGCTCGTTCAGCGGCCTCTTCCTCACGCACACCACGATCTGGTTCTCCACCACGGCGTCGTTGTCGCGCAGCGGCCGGAAGTCCAGACCGGCCCTGTACTCGTCGATCATCTGCGAGAACTCCCAGTAGGGGTTGTTCTGCTCCAGGTGGAGGATTTGGTGACGAATGGCGCGCTCGTCGGCTTGCTTCTGGCGGCGCTCGTCGCGGTTCTTCGCTATTATTTCTACCTTGTTTGTAAAAGCAATGTTGAATTGTTATTATCATATTTAATTCCACAAGTGATACTATTTAGCCGGAAATATTCGGCGACTGTTACGACAGCTTGTATTAAAACTTTCGAGCTGTAGACAAGTTTTAAATCAATGTCTTGAGCGAAATTAAAGCAGCGAACTGGTGTATATCAATCGACGAATATTTCAAAGAAAAATGGCATCACGAGTTGTATTCGTATTGATCATTCTAGAACACGTGATTTTGACATGGTTTCTTGAGGGGCACACAAACTATCTATTAGGTTACCTTTGATGAGCATAGCCCTGGCCATGCCTGCCACATCCACAATACAATAACAGTTTCACCAAACAAAATTATGAAATTCTTTCTGGTTCCAACTCTGATTCCAAGGAAAACGATCCCACTAATTCTGGTTTTATATGACAAATCTTGACAAAATACATTGTTTGCCCCTCAGCAACCTGTCAAATGACGTAATTCTGGAATGATTAATTAATATTTCATGATTGAGGCAATAAACGAGTGCCTCGCGAGAGTTGCGCACACTGCGTCCATCGTTTCGGCTTCCAACATAATTAACGTTATAAAGGGCAAAAATTGTATGATCTCTGGTAGAAGTCCATGTTTGCTCAAAGTGGAGTGGAATTTTTAAAGGAGGAAGGAAAGCTCAAAGTCATCTCCACAACTTTAATATGAAGTTTATTCAACGGGACATGTTTCGAACTTATAAAAGTTCATCTTCAGCCATATTTAAGAAATTACTAAAAGTAAAGACATTTGAAAATATACAAAATGTTATAAAAATTGTTTTTTGACTTACATGGGGGTGAAACATTGTTTGTTTTAACAATGATGTCGATGTCTCTCATCATAATGTCATTGATGAAGAATAAATAAATTGAGGAATAAACGGGTTTTCATTAAAAATGAAGGGCCCCGTGCCCTGAGAACGCGCACTTATGAATCAATCAAAAGTCAAGTCCCAGAAGGGAAACTTGACGAACACACAAGGTGCTCAAAGTAACCATATTGGTGTATTACAGGAAAGGGTCCCGTACCCTTGAGAGAGCGCACTTAAAAAGCAAAAATCAATTTAGAATTGATGGGGCCAAAGCCAAAAACGTGTTACATCCAACCTAAGGTTAGAAACACAGAATTAATTAATTGCAAGAACTTGACATAAGTCAAAGTCTTAATAATGTCATGTTATTAAGACTTTGACTTATGTCAAGTTCTTGCAATTAATTAATTCTGTGTTTCTAACCTTAGGTTGGATGTAACACGTTTTTGGCTTTGGCCCCATCAATTCTAAATTGATTTTTGCTTTTTAAGTGCGCTCTCTCAAGGGTACGGGACCCTTTCCTGTAATACACCAATATGGTTACTTTGAGCACCTTGTGTGTTCGTCAAGTTTCCCTTCTGGGACTTGACTTTTGATTGATTCATAAGTGCGCGTTCTCAGGGCACGGGGCCCTTCATTTTTAATGAAAACCCGTTTATTCCTCAATTTATTTATTCTTCATCAATGACATTATGATGAGAGACATCGACATCATTGTTAAAACAAACAATGTTTCACCCCCATGTAAGTCAAAAAACAATTTTTATAACATTTTGTATATTTTCAAATGTCTTTACTTTTAGTAATTTCTTAAATATGGCTGAAGATGAACTTTTATAAGTTCGAAACATGTCCCGTTGAATAAACTTCATATTAAAGTTGTGGAGATGACTTTGAGCTTTCCTTCCTCCTTTAAAAATTGTATGGCTGAAAAACAAGGTGAGTTGGTCACGTGAGTGTCAATTCGGCTTCTGTATTGGTAGAGGAAGTCTGATAGAATTTAGTAAACAAAAAATATCGCTGGAATACAAGAGTATCCGTGAAAATAGTCGACTCTGATTGATTCTCGAGAACAAGAGTGTAATAGTCATGAAGGAATTCTGAAATCTACAGAGTGACAACGAAATTATTGCCCAGAGGGCGGCATTCAGTTGTCCTTTATGTTAGACTTTTGATATTTGGATCAAAGATATATTTGCTTTTGATCATAGATCTAAATTTTCCAGCCCGTCCCTGTACTTGTCGATCATCTGCGAGAACTCCCAGTAGGGGTTGTTCTGCTCCAGGTGGAATTCAGATATGGAAGTTGTAGGGTTTCATTTGTACTATCTTTTGGCGCTCCTCGAATAAATAATTTCGAATCTCAAAATGGAAGAAAGATTTTAGATCAATCTTTTAAAATGGGAACATCCTGTTTATTTTCAACTGTCGTGAAAGATACGTTTCTTCTGTTAACAAATATACAGAGTTTCTGGTATTTCGATACATTCCTTCCCAGCAAACATTGAACTAGCGGGAGAAGTCCGACCTAGTGCAGGTTAGTCTGGGAAAGTGACGATGCCGGGGTATAGGTAATGGGCCGATGATTTTTCCATGCCAAGTAACCATCAGTTAAAAATACGATGATGGCCTTGTGATGGTAAGATGTCTGGAACTAATTGAATACTAACGAGATCTGGCCCTTTGCTGGCCAATTTCATATTCACTACCCGTCCCCCTGGCGGGTGTTTTGAGAACGTCTACATCAACAATCAGCTGATCAATATCATATGTGACTAAGATGGCTGACTCTCGCGAGTGTTGATCGCGTACTAGTTTGTTTATGTCGAATTATTGTGGTCCTCTCTTTCCGTGGTGGTTATTTATTATGGCAGGAGTATTCTCAATTGATAATAATAGAAGACAGAGTCTTCAATTATGATAATATTGAGTAAGTATCAATGTACCTACATAGTGTTTTGAATGTCATTATTTGATGCATGTGTTTGGTATCTCGTAACCTCATATACCTAATGATTATGATAATTGGAGTTAACTTTACTTCTCAAAAAGCAACCATCATTTTCAACTTGTTTGTTGCTATCAAAAGCAATCTCAGGTTATGTGAACCTATCTCTATATTGAATAACTGAATAACAATAAGATTTCAGCTACAGAATTACCTGTGCCAACACCATAATGAGAATTGAAAAGCTCCATGTTATCACGTCATTTGACTATATTATCAAGTTATAAACTCATGCAACTCATATACCACTAATATAAAACAAATGATGCATTTTATATTTCAACAGTACCTCACAACGAAGAATCAACTTCGAAGGAATGCTACCCAATAAGTAGTTTCATCGTTGAAGAACAGAGAGGTTGAGAAGATATCATTGTGTCATTCATGAAATTGTTTTCTTGAAATCTGGTATGTGTCTGATTTATGATGAGAGGGTTATGTTGTGAAATAAAGAGGTACTAGAAATTTCAGATCCATTTGACCCCTAAAACCCCTACCCCTTGCTGGGTTCGGATATATGATAGGGAAGGTGGTAAGGAGTGAATTTAACCCTAATAGTTAATGGTTTTTGAGATATTGACATTTGTCTGTTTTTCTCCAAAGGGTGGCCTTCACAGGTTCATAAGTTATTTCCCCGAAAATCTTCTGTACATTTTTGCGACCTTCCAACTAGAATACATGATCAACACTATGGTCTTATGTTTGGAATGAAAAAATTCCAGAAATAAAATAGATCATAGATGAATTTCAAATACAAAGTCGTATTTTTGTTGTGATTTGTAGATTTCAAAATTTTCTAGCGGTTATTCTCAGAAAAATCTCTGTCACATTTGTCAAAAACTGGGTACAAATTAAAATAAATGTGTTTGATACGGATTTGTTATTTTGAACGCATAGTGAAAAACATACTCGAAATACCTATCAGTATCTATTTTTGGCGATACAAAATCAATTTGTTTTTCAGTTTCGTTTATTTGCTCTAGGCAGATAGCAGATAAATTCCAAACTACTAGAAGTAAAAACATTATTGATCATTATATGTGGGGTCATATAAAAGCGCTATTTGATGAAACCCTCGTAAATACTCACAAAGAGCTCCTACAAAGTATAAGCGACGCTGTCATGCACATACGAAATGATTTCACAACTAGAATAACAAAGACGGAAACACGAATTTCCTGAATTTCCTAAAATCTTATCAGGAAACGAAAACTAACTATGTATAGCAGCTCTACCCCAATCAATCATTACCTTTTTGGCGGCATCAGATTTATAATCGAACTGAGAATCTCGCTTTCCCCTCGATCCTCTTCTGGTATCTGGTGATGTAGGAGAACTTGGAGTAGGACTAGTAGGGGATACTGAAACTGAAATATTATGCATTTAAAAGAGGTAGAAAAACTTTGAATCTCCACTAACTATGGGACAAAGAGGAAGCTAACGAAGGGGAACCAAATCTGTTTATGTCTCTCTGGTCATTATTTCAGTATGGTCGGAGGGTGAAAGACTTACGTACTCAACTGATCTACCAGAACTGCCTAAACCATTGGAAAGAACACAACCAAGCAGATTCTATAATGTTGAAGTAACACCTTCAAATTCTGACAGGAGAGCTTAGAGTTCACTGTCATTTGTGCCTCTAATTCGAGCTGCCACCTAGGAAGCATGTAGGTCTCTGAACCAACAAACAGATTGTGTCCAAGTCAAAACAGTTGAATACATAATATTAATAGGTACCTACTCTTCAAGGCTATTTAACTCTATAAGGTTGCCTCATATTCACCTGGCCTGACGTCACTGTTTCCCCAGTCGTCTTTTGTCGAACGGCGGAGGTGATAAACAAAACAAACAAATTTAGCATTGTGCAATCCAGTGAATTTTAATAAATTTTGAAGTTTTCCAATATGTTTTTGTATCCACGAGATAGTTCACTGTTTTCCCAAAACATGCAGCAAGTACAAAAGACTGAAAACAGAAATCTAGAAAGATATGTTATGTTCCTCAGTGCTCCTGTTGTACAGACAGATTACAGAAACTCAGTCAAATTCTTATTGCAATATCACTCCATTAGGACTGATTACTGTTGGCATTTAGTGATAGGCTAGGTTGAGCTACTGATAAAGCATTTTTCAATAAAGAAAATGTTATTGGGAAGTCTGAACCTAATGATGGAATCATGGTGGATAAGGGCATGCTGACAAGGGATGTGAAGAAATATCTTGAAATTGATTAGGCCATCATTTCTGAGAAACAAGAAACAATGGTTTTATTTCAGTATGAATTTGGAACATATTATTGTTTGTAAATGAAATAATAAGTAAATGAATCAATAAAGAAGTCATCACAATTCATTCCATTTTATTAATGCAATAAAAGTGCAACATGATGGAAATATCTTTAAGATATCTTCCTCATAAGATTAACACAAAATGTTTCATAAAATTAACTGGAATCTCTATGTAAGTTTTGGAGGAAGAAGAATTATACAAGAAAATTAGTTCATTTCAAGTTCATTAGGGACATTTTAGGGCCATTATTCCCAACTGAATTTATCCATAATAAGTGTGTCTCTCTTCCAACTTCACATTTTTTATACCATCTCCTATCAAGAAATGGCATTGTTCCACAAAATGTTCTGAACCTTTACCTAAAATTTTGAGAAAATAATTCAAGCTGAATGTTATACACATTATTTAACAAACCTTCTTTTAATAAGCGGGTAGCAGAACTATTGAAATGGTTTTGCTGTAAAATAGATCATTGATTGATCTACTCTCTTTTTATATTTTCACCACTTCTTTTTGTTATATATGCAGCTTCACATATTACAAGTCTTCATTCCTGAAATTTCATGTATTTTTTACCTGTGTGTGTGATAGATCAGAAGTGCACCTTCCTACCTGTCAATATAAGTCCCGATAAAATGTGTTTACAAAACCATGACATGCCTGCTTCACAGGGACATTCACATTGCCACAGCTCATCATTTTCCTTTGGAATTATCTGAATCTCATGTGGAGGCTGCCCAAGAGCAGATGATTGTAAACACAGGCATTTTATAACATTTGTTTGTTCTATATCCACTCTTGACTCCACACATAATAATATTATGATGTGACCAGCCTTCAATAATACTACACCATATTATTATACAACCTCTAAGCCCCTTTCAAAGATATCTTCAGTCTTCTTGTCACCATGTTTTCAACTAAAGTCTAAAATTCGCGATTCTTTCGAATTCAAATTCAAAAAATGTTTCAATCCATTTGACAGTGACACAAACGAAATCTACAATCACGTGGCGGGAAAACAGTGACGTCACGCCCCTCCGCGCACCACCACACCCTAATGCTATACTATGAGGTAACCTTATAGAAGTTAATAGACCTTGCCTACTCTTGTTCTTGAAGAAAATGAGGTATTAAATACATTATCTCTCACCAATTTAGAACCTGACGATTCCAGGAGAATCTCACCCCATTCAACCATCATGGAGTTTGTAATAAAAAAATTTGTAAAATTTGTATATCGCTACTTCAGAGTTGGGAACCAACTCCCCAGAAGTCGGAACTTGTGCGGGGTTAGGAAGAGCGGGACCTACAGCTTATAGAATCCGAACCACTTCTAGGGCATCGAGGTGCTGCCAGGATTACAACCATGAATCACACATTTTAAAGAAAAATGCTCAGCCGATAGCCGGATTCGAACCGACAGTACCTCTGCCACTCGTGAACGGCTATCTATCGAATTTCAGCGCATAGACAAACGCGGCCACGGAGTTTGTGGAAAACTAACAGGTTGATGTTGAGTAAACTTTACAGTATATCTTCAAGAAGTAAGCCACACTAATAGACCATTGGGGGTCACGGTGGAATAAACATCGAACCTGAAAAATCTATTTCTTCTCCACAAATTTCTGATGACACGTGTTTCGAAATTTCGGCCCTCATCAGAACGGTGAAAAAAGTGTGCAAAAATTTGGCAAACACGTGTTGGGAGATGAAACAACAAATCGAAGAATGGGGAAGACCACTGATTTTTTAAAACGACATTATCGTGAACTCTATACTGAAAAACTACCAGTGAATTAATTTTGAATTTTTTCATTCATGCTAAGACGATGAAAAAAATAAATTAGTATATGTCCATTTCAAAACACACAATTCCTGCGCCATTTGAAATTTCATCAATTCATTGGTGTGACTGGTGCGACGTCTTAGTCCCAACACGCCTATTGTCCTTGAACTGACCAATTACACTGCAACACTGCAGAATGACGAGGTATCAGAGAGAGATAGCTATACAGTTCGGGACTAATACGTCACGACTCCACCATCATATTTGGCTGTTTGAAATATCGAATGAATTATGCTGATTTCAAAACGATAAAGATTCGATTCCCTTCAACTTCAACTCATAATATTGATTGTACATAAAATGTAAATCATGATTCGTCGATTGAAAGAGGTTTGCACGGATTTCCTCCCTCAGTGGTCTTCCCCATTGTGGTTGCGGTCAGCAGACCTTGCATTTTCAGGGCTACAACTAATATCTGAGTCCAGAAGTAGAATTGTGATTTGTTTATTTATTTATTTTTTGAACAAATAACCCCCAGAAAAAATAGGCTCTGGTATAAGGAAGTACATAATTATATACCTATAGGTAAACATATCATCATTCAAAATATATCAACAACTGTAAATTGGCAAACGAAGAATAATATTTGTAAAAAAAAAATTGCATGCTTAATTTTATCCAGTTCGCTCAGAAATAATCAGTTTTTCACTTCCTTTTTGAATGTTAACCTATATTTCTGCAATTTCTTATATGGCTGAATGAGTGAATCTTTTTTGTCCGAATATGGAGCTAGCGGCGTCGAGATGAAACAAGTTATATTGTCTAGTTTCATGATTATAAATTTCAGAATTCCGTATCAAAATAATATTCGACATCAATTTTTTTTTAATGATATTATATGATATACTAAGAGTTTCAATTCTATATATTTCATCTAGAGAATACGAATTTGTAATTCCATACAATTGATTGGTTGATGTATCAAATGGAAGACGATACATTACTTTTAACGATTTTCTATATTATAATGTTGATATTTTATTGAAATTATTTTTTGAACAAGATCCCCAAACATTTGTTAAATAGTTGATACGACTCAGTATATGAGAGTAGAGAATCATGTTTGCAATTTCAATATTAAGTCAAGGGACATCTTCTCAATGTACCAATAATTGGAAATATTTTTTTTGTCGGAACATCAATATGTTTGTCCCACTTCAACCTGTCATCAAACCAAATACCAAGATATTTTATCTGGTCAGTTTGTTTTGAGAGTTAATTTTTTATTTTGAGGTTGAGATACTTCTTTTGTTTATTTTTTGGTGAAAAATCATATATTCTGTTTTGTAGTATTTATCGAAGGAAGAAAGTTAGAGTGGAGCCATTTTTCAAATATTTTCAAGTCTTCATATTTTCTAAATTTGAACTATTCTTGCCTTCATATAAAAGTACTGTATCATCTGCATACATGGTATATTCATTCGCTAGACCAATTTCAATGATATTTTGGACACAAAGTAAATATAGTATGGGTCCTAAAACAGAGCCTTGTGGAAAACCCTTATTGATATATAGTTTATTTGACACAGAGTTGGTTGATTTTGTATTAATTGTCCTAGTTTCAAGATTTATATGAATTCAAAATATTTCTCACATTGCCTCTGAGTCCCATTGTTTCTAAGTTTTCTAAAAGTGTTGTATGATTATTGTAGATTTAACTGTAATGAAGAGCACTGTGCTAATAAAGTTTGATATGATAAACTGTGTCAAAAGCCTTTTTGAGATCAATAAAAACAGCTACCACATAATTTCCTGAATAAAGTCCTCTCTGGATTGATTCTATCACTTGAAAAACTGCTACTTGTGTTCCAGTTGTTCCACTGTTTTCTTGAAAACCAAATTGATACGAATCAAAGCTATATTTCTTGTTGATGAATTCTACAATGCGTTTCTTGAGAATTTTTTCAAAAATTTTAGAAAATATGCTTATCAAGCTATTGGTCCATAGTTAGTTGGATCCTGAGCATTTCCATTTTTGTAAATAGCTCTTACTGATGCATGTTTCAATTCGTGTGGAAAACTTTCTTTTATGAAATGAAATGTGTCGCAATTCAAATATGTCTTTAGGAATCAAACCTTCTGGATCAGGGCATGTCTTTTTTAAATCATGAATTACAGAAATGATTTCACTTTCATCAGTGTGAAACAGAAGGGATTATTGAGGGAGCTTTTTTTAAGTAAACATGGGAGAAATTATTGGACATTGCCCTCATAAAAAGTTCACAGCAGAAACATTTTTCTGGCTTTCAAGTGAGTTTGGAAAAACTATACCTTTTTATTTTTCAAATTATTCGTGAAAATTGTGCATATCTGGGGCGGATAGAGACAGAATGTACACCGAGAGAAATATCTATTAGCTGTTATACGAAATTTTATAACCATTAAAAGATTTCTGAATTGAATAGGCTCCAGCATAGTTCCCATTTCACTGTAATCACGTTCATCATTTCAAAAAAATCATATAACTGTGAAATATCACTTATATGAGAATGAAATGACACTCATATAGGGGTCAAATGACTAGCATTTCAATGCTGTACGATGATAATATAAAAATGAGAAGATACTCATATAAATTTGACATGTTTTCAATATGATAGTCAAATAAAAAGCATTTCAATATTGAATAGTGATATTATAAAAATTAAATAATACTCATATCAATATAATTTGCTTTCAATTTCATAGTAAAATGAGTGCATGGTATTTCAGTATTAGGATGATTAATTTCTCTCCAGAAGAATGAAGTGGGTTGAAACTCTTCGAGAAATATTGAAGACCTATATACTTAGTTTATATACTCATCCCCACGCAAAGTTTTCTTTTAGGAACTACAGTGCATTGAAGTGCATCACAAGGACGATATACTCATTTTACAATATCTCAGTTTGTGTAGGACAAAAATGCTTCCAATTTGGACTATTTGTTCTCATTGTCAGTGCATTGGATTATTAGTTAACATAGTGGCCAAAAATGTAATTACACAGTATCGTCAGTAAATTAGAGTTCACATTCGCAGATTTCGTTTTATTTTATTCACCATTATTGCCACTTGAGCTTTACAAAAGAGCGTTGAGAGACTTTTCTTACGACGTTTTCGAGATCCACATGATTGTAATCATTAATCTTGGACACAATGTATACGCAATACAATCTATCACCGATAAAACTGTTCAAATCCAAGCTTTTGCCACTTAGTGAATAGTGAGGTGAGTTAAAAAATGAAAGTTTTTCCAATTTGGAAGACATTCCGATACATACACTTACCGATATATCGTGAAAACACTATAACGCCCAGAGGCAGTTCAACATTCTGTAGTTCCTCAACAAATCTTGGGGGTTATATGAACAAATATGTCCCTTATATTTCTAGATCTCTCAACCACTTCAAAAAAAAATTTCACTCTGCAAGAAGAGTTCACGAGCTGCCACGAGCTAATATGTCCTTTCATATCAGGAATCCGGAGACGACTAACGATTCTCATCGAACAAGTGTTCATAGGTGAGTGAGATGACTCATTGAGGTAAACGAGTATGACAAAGATGGAAAATGATAGAAGGGATGAAATTAAATGATAATTGTATAACTGTGAAATGACATCTTTCAGGATTTAAATGATTATCTTCAAATTTCCATCTTTTAACTATAATCTTGTCTTATTTCGAATCTGAAAGATAACCTTTTCGAAACAAAAAGAGTGATTTGAAAGGGTGACCTATTTCACGTTGAAAATCAGATGACATTTCGTGGTTGAAATGTTTCAATTGGCGGTTATAAGAAGTGTTTGAATAGAGACATGTATAACTGGACTTTTCTTGGTGTAGGTATTGGAATGTTCATTGATGACTTTTGCAATTTATGAGTTTTCTTCGGGTGTGCCTTACTGGTAGGTATTACTAGTGATGGGATGATAACCGAAATTCATGGAGGTCATTTTCCATTTCCGTTTCTTGGCGTTTGGTCTTGTACTTACATAATTCCCACAGATGCCATTTCAGTCACTTCTCCAAGATGGCAGCTGTTGAGGAAAAGTGACTAAGCGGTAATCTCCAATAACTTGTAAGTCACGGTCTTTTCGCCCCCATAAAGGGGATGATGAATTTTAAATAATATTTCAATGTATTTTTTTCGCATATGTATCGTCTATATAAATTCATCTACATACATTGGGTCGATTTTTCACGAGACTGATGCCGGGCAATATATGCCCCAAACATGTTTTTATAACCCATAATCTGGGAAAATATATATGTGGAGATTACTAGGTGTATTATTATTGGTATTATGAGAAAGTGAGGGTCGCTAACATTCCTGTGGTGATCCGAAGATGGCTAGGAACAAGTAAGATCTCACTTATAGGTGTGGTATCATCAACAAGACGACAGCTTATCTCTGGATGAATATTGGGAGCATCAGTGAATGAAATCGAAATCCAGAGTCAAATAAGATTTATGTCATAATGAATTATTATGTTGCACCTATAAATTTCTTATTGCGATTGTGGCAGTGAATCACATAAGGCTGGGTACATTCTGATTGACTACTGACCCTTTATCTGCACTGATGGAGAAACTCCTGGTGAATTTCAAATTGTGGCTTGTGAGAATATATAGCATGTTTAAAGTAGTCAAAACAATATTTCCTAATCTAAACGAATCTCATTGCTGTACTTTATTAACAAAACTCAATGTAAGGTACTCACTTGGATATGTCGGAGAATGAGGAATACTTTTTGAAACAGGAATACTTTGTAGTCTGGCAGTCGAACGATTTTCGTTCCTCTCAGTCGAACTCTTCCTAGGCGAAGCTCCTCTTGAAGATTTTTTATTTTCACGTTCTTCTATCAGATAAGGAAACATTTTTCCTCCTGTCAAAAATTGTCACTTTCACATAATGTCACGAATAAAAAAGCCAATTACCTATGTTGAAAATATTAGCGGCTCTGAGTATACTCCAGAATATATTCATCCAGGTCGTGGTGAGGGGTTAGATATGGTGAATAAATAAAAATTTAAAATGCGATGTATCGAAAACTGATGTTATTGTGTCAGGAATTTTAACCTTACCATCTTTATGAGGTGTCAAACTGAAAAATGTTGGTATCCGGAAAAACATGTCTCTCATGAGAACACAAATCCAAATCACGAATATCAGAATCACCATTTTACCAGAGCGATCTCATATGTGTTACTGATTCTTATTTGCATTCGTAAGTGTGTGACCTCTAATGAAAACTCAGCGAGGAACAAATAATTCATAGATCTAGACATAATAGGAAAGCATGTGTAGGTGGAGATCGTTTTGAATAATTTCTAGTAAATACGTCTTTATATAATAGTTATGATAAAAATATCATTGAAACAACACCAATCAAGAGGATTCCTAAAGAGGATAGTATTATTGGACTATGTACAGTGTGTCCAGTTTTCGATGCTTTTGCATGATATCTCAGTTATCTTTGGAGATAGAACCTTTTGCATGATATCTCAGTTATCTTTGGAGATAGAACCTTGCGGTTTTCGCGGGCCTGTGCCACTTTTTTGTGAAACTCAAGATGGCCTAATCAGATTTTGCAGGACTGTTTCCGTTTATTTATACTTTATACTTTTTGGACCCCCTGTATATCTACGAAGTTTATCAACAAAAATGTCAAATCAAAATCTTAACCCATGGAGAATTTTATGCGGGATCCAGTAGCGCACAAATTTTTTTTTCGGGGTGTGGTTTTGAAAATACAACTCAAACTTATGATTTTTTAAATTGAACACCCTGTATTTTATAAGCTCATTGAATTCCTTATTTTTTTCCCTTCGACTGCACCTGAATATTTACTGAACCAATTGAATTTCGAAATTATTCAGTGATTTATTCATTGAATTGTTCAAATTGATGTCAATTTTTCATCACAAACTTTCTCAATACATGTTAATCATTTAAAGATGTCTTTGTAATTCCTGGAAAACTGCCTCTGTTGTTGCACAAAGTTCTTCAAGTATGTTGGGCCACTCACTGTATTAAGAAGTATTGAGAAAGTTTGTCAACTGTTTGTTGGGGAAAATGGATATCAATGTGAACATGTCAATGAATAAGTTACTGAATAATTCCGGAATTCAATTATTTCAGTAAATATTTAATCAGATGCTTATTCTACATTATGAACTTTTTATTACTATCAATTTGTTGCTATCAGGTACCCAAGGTTAGTGTTTTGTTAATTAATAAGTGTTGATATTGGTTTTGACCTCTCCATGGAAAAATTTAAAGAAATATTTCTTCAAATGGAACGTTTTTCATAAGAAAAATCCATAACCAACTATCAAAATTTAATATTTTAGTGATTTTGAGCAATTTTGAAAATTTTATATTCATTCGTTATATATCATTTTGAAGACAGAAAAATAAGGAATTTAATGAGCTTATGAAATACAGGGTGTTCCATTTACAAAATCATAAGTTTGAGTCGTATCTCCAAAACCATACCCCGAAAAAAAAATTCAAGTGCGACACTGAATTATGCGTGAAATTTTCTATGCGATTAGATTTTGATTTCACATTTTTGTTGAGAAACTTCGTGGATATAGAGGGGGTCCAAAAAGTATAAATTTTCAAAATCGCCCTGTATCTCATAAACGGAAACAGTCTTGCAAAATCTGATTAGGCCATCTCGAGTTCCACAAATAAGTAGCACAGGACTGCGAAAACCGCAAGGTTCTATCTCCAAAGATAACTGAGATATCAGGCAAAAGCATCGAAAACTGGACACACTGTACTTCAGGTAGATAGTATTATTCTCATATTTTGTCTGGAAGTAAATTAACACATATTGATTGTATACATACAGCGTGTTTCATTTCGAACGTCCACCCTTTATATATCAGCTACTAATTATACAGACATAGAAAAAAGTACATTGCATAGTGGCACACAATAGAGGGCACTAAAATAAGGAAATACCAAGGTTGGTAGAACTGATGATTATTTTGTATTATAATCAGTTCTACCAACCTTGGGAAATACTTTTTTACGAACACGGGTCCGCAAGGCCTCCGGTTGAAAGATACGGGGTGTTGAATTTAAATTTTTTTATTTATTTGCGAAAACAATGATGAATAAGTTCGACAATTACATTGAAAAACCACTGTATACCACATTTTATCCTTTTCTTGCGTATCTGGCTAGAGATATTAGAAAAAAAAAAACAAAAAAAATAAAATTCAACCCCCCGTAGGATATTTATATCTTGAGATTCCAAAAGGGCCTTCGACTGAAGAGGTCATGATGTAGTTACTGGAAAACTATATCTTTATGGAATGAGGCAAACAGCCTATGGATAATAGGTCCGTATACCACTTCTGTGGTTCTCAGTAGGTGAATTGTCAAAATGTATAAGCATGGTGTAACCCAAGGGGTAGTTTCAGACGCAATCCTTTAATTACGATTCATACATTTCGACATGCTCAAAACTAAAATAGAAGAGCATTTGACAAGTATGTTATTTTCCATTTTTTATTTTGAAAACGATAGCAGATTTGTTATCGAAATGTCCAAAGACAAGTAAAAGTTTGATATTTTGAATATCTATATATTTTCTCCTCCAAACATTTTTCAAAACTAGTTGTCACTGACAATCTGTTAAATTCACCTTTCCCGCTCCCTGATGAAAAAGTTTTCAAACGTAATGACATTCCAGGACAAATCATCTGATCATCATATATCGGAATAATTATCATATTTTTATTTTATTGAAACGAGAAGAGAATTGAAAATTTTTTTTGAAAATGAGTACATAATCTATATGATGTTGAATGATATGGATAAAATGTTCGAAAATGTCTTTTTTTCAAAACTGATTCAATTTTATAAAATGAATATACAAAATATTTGATCGATTGAACAATGAAATGATTGTTGAATACACAGAATCTATTCGATGTCGACTATATATATAAATTTTGTTGAATTGTGCTAACATGCCAATTGGAAAAGGTTTTTGTCGTTTCGACCGAGTGGCTAATTTCGAATAATTATACCGGGTGTCCCATTAAGCCTATCGACCGGCTTCATCCCAGAAACTATTGGTCCCACAGTTTTAGGAAAAAAACTATCTTATGTAAAGCAGTCAAGAAAAATTCAACTAAAATAGTTTTAAGTTCCTAAAATGACCGCTAGGTGGCGTAATACAGATTGAAAATTTAAAAACTCCTTTTTCTTGAAGAAGTCAAATACAAACGTAGGTATTTTTTAAAGTATTCTGCATATCCTAGTCAATACCTAAAACTTTTGTATAACACTTTTTGTTCTAACTCTTCAAACAACGACAACAAAAACAAAAGAAAAACGGTATACAAAAATCACCATAACTTCGGTTTGTCTTATCCCATTCGAATAAACTTTTGATCGTTTGATAGGTAATTTAAGGTAGAATAAGAATACAATTTTAAATATTCTGGCAAATTCCTCAACAAACCACCAGATGTCGCTTTTTGTAATTGTCACCAATTATTGATGATTTCTTAAAAATTTCAAATGTAATGACATATTTTTTAATAAAGTGTCATATTCTGCAATAGATTTAGAAAAGAATGCCGCAAACCGGAAGTCTCTAGTGTTTTTTAAACAAAAGTTATGAATAAAAATGTGTTTATAAGATTACGAGCGTAATAAATGCATATTTTTTCAATATCAAGAAGGCTATAAATACAAAATAATTGTCCATTTCAAGAATGTCAGAATAATACTTTTTTTGTGTCAAACTCGTCATACACAGAATCGTCCGGTGAAATCCTAATGTACTTGTAACTTGAATTGTAAATAACAATTATAACATGGCGAGCATGCTGAAACCAAATATTCCAATGCTGAGCCTAACAAAACACGGGTGCAAACCGGTAGTCAGATATTTTTAAAATAATTTCAAAATTAAAATGTGACAATAAGTTCACTGTCAGGAGGAAATTTGAATCTGATTATGAAATTTCACTCATAAAGTTTTAAAATGTTGTTTTTTTATTACAATCTTATAAATGAAAAGGACAAACAAATTAAAGGCTAGATACAAAACAAATAACTTGGGTACCTACCTACTGCTTAAGGCTATAAGTTTTCATTTGAGATGTTCAAAATGGCCGCCATTATTTTCAATACACATATCAAATCTTCGTCGGGTCGATGATACAGCAGTTTCTATCTCTGCTACAGAAATTGACTGTATTGCATTTTGTATGCGCAAAATCATGTCTTCTCGCGTTGTTGGTCTAGTCGTATAAACTGCATCTTTTACTCTTCCCCATAAGTAAAAGTCTAAGACAGTTAAATCGGGAGACCTAGGTGGCCAAGCAAATGGACCACCCCTTCCAATCCATCTAGCAGGAAACTGGTTATCCAAATACTCCCTTACATTGCGAGCATAATGCGCCGGACAACCGTCATGTTGAAACCACATGTTCCTGAGGGTTTCCAAAGAAACATCTTCTAATAAAGCTGGTAAGTGGTTGACTAAAAAGTCCAAATATCTTGCCCCATTTAAATTTTCTTCGAAAATGTACGTAATAATTTTGCCCTCGATAATACCGCACCAAACATTAACAGAGAATTTATGTTGTTGATCAATTTCAATCATCCAGTGTGGGTTATTTTCCGCCCAGTAATGGCTGTTATGCAAATTTACCTTACCGGTACTGGTGAACGTTGCCTCATCGGTCCATAAAATACTGGACAAAAAATTTGGATTTTCTGTTAACATATTACGCATCCATTCGCAGAATTCCAGCCTTCTGTCAAAATCTAAAGCTGTCAGTGCTTGATGCAGTTGAACATGATACGGATGCATTTTGTGATCTTTTAAAATACGTTGGATTGTTGATCTTGATACACCCAAATCTCTTGACATGTCTCTGATACTGGAGTGAGGATGTGCTTCAACGTAAGCAAGAACATTAATTATGTTATCTTCGTTTCTTGCTTTTCGACGTCTATTGGTCGGTGGTATTGGCAAAACACTTCCGGTTTCCCTTAAGCGTCGAGACAGGCGAAGAAATACCATTCGGGAATGTGGCCTTCGTTCTGGATATACCAAACTGTATTCTCGCGAGGCAATCACTGGATTTTCAAAACTTCGAAAAAATATTGCAAGCATATCATAATATGCTTCTGCAACAGTGTAAGACATTATTTAACAAAAAAAGATTTTTTGATAATTAAACACTAAAATCT